GAACATTTAAAGCAACTTCTGAGATGAGCCCTAAAACAGAGTTAAGCACATAGAAAAGACAAAAAACTCAGAGTTTGGTATTTGGTAAGTACACGGTACTTACTTTCACCAGTTGTATGTGCCTAAGAGCATAATGTGTCTATAACCAAATACAGTTTGTTTCAATGAAAATAATAAAAAGATACCTGTTTTTTTTCTATTGCTGCAACAGTGTAACTGATAATGACAGTCCAAGTTTTCCTTTTTAGGAAACTGTTCTAGAGACACTTACTGAGTCAGAATCATTCACAGTGGTGGTGATAGGAACCAGACGTCCACCTCTAAAAGCTACCTAACAGAAAGTTATTACATGAAATGGTTATGAATACGCTGCTTGATGTCAGAGACGTTGTTTAATGAGAGTTTTGTGATAAAGTTTTGGCCTGAAATGTCTTAATCCATTCATGGTGGATGGACATTCCATATAAAAACACAGAAGGCACATGTAGGTTCACTGGTGGTTTTGTATAGTAAATACAGTCTAATAATGTCTATATTCATGTTATATACACTGTGACCCCTGATTCCTGTCACCACCACTATAAAGAAATCTGAGTATGTAACTTTTTCTACAGTGAACTATTTTGTATCACTCCGGATGACTTTGTTTATGTGGCAGTGACAGAATTATGCAAAAATTGTGAAAAATTGTTGGAGTTCCCCTTTAAGTAACACAATATATCTTACTCTTCTAGCATTATGACAGGTAGGGAAGGTATTCACAAATGTAAATATATATGCCATAATCTACTTTTGGTGAGAGTGTTCTTAGGTGGAGACACAAACAAACACTTTTGGGTTTTGCAAATTGTGAATTAAACATAGACTTAAATTCTCTTTTCTCAGTACATTAAACTACCAACTCGTGTCTCTCCACCTTTTGAATGCAGTTTAGTGCTCAAGGGGGCCAGAACACTTTGTACCTGAATGATCAGTGGACAGAAGAGTGGTTGACAGGCTCAATGATTTCTTTTACCATAAAGAGATTGTTGTGCACCTGTTCATTGAGCCAAACAGCAGAGGCAGCTGGAAGCAAGAGGACCCCAGAGAAGATATCTGGACAATCCAGGCATGGTATGGCCACAGGCATAAAATTGTTGTTATGGCACTATACCTGCTGAGCTGTGAGAGACTTCAAAGAGCTGCCAAAAAACAACAGACCTGAAATAAGGAACCTGTTCTGCAGGAAAAAGCCAGTGAGATGTGGAACATGATGAATGCAACCATAACATCTCAAAAGGACTGTGTTCAAGCTAAAACTTACATGTAAACTGCATATTAAATAGCTGGACATATTACAGAGAAAAAATGGAAGGAGAAGATGTGAAACTGGGAGAGGTGTTATGATAATGTGACATTGCACCATATCTTAATGAAAACTCAGAAAATGTTCTTTGTATATGGATCTATGTATATGTGAACAACTGAGACCACTTGCCAGAGACAAATGATGTGATGAGAATAAGTCTCAGACACATCAGTGGCCATGAAAGACTGAATATCTTGCATATGAATTTCAGCCATGGTTCATCATTTTTTGTACTGCAAGTTGATGCCGTTGTATCAGAAATTATTATTTTATTGATTTTGGTGGGCACAGTGATGTGATCACTTACATCGAGACATTTAGGTTGTTTTATAGCTTTTTACAATTGCTAAGAAGCATTTTTCAGTGCCAAGTTCACTTGTTCAAAACTCTACATACTCCTTTCTGCAGAAACATGTAGCTCAGCTCAGCAGTTCATTTTATGCCCAGAATGCTCCGCAGCTGCAAAAACCCTGCAAAAACATCCAGTACATTCATTCCATCAAAACATGAACACTAGTGTTCTTACAACAGGAACACTCTGGCAATCACAGCAGTCACCTCAGAAACACTAACAATTGTACACAATAAGGCAGAGCCTTGCTTTTGAGGTTTGAACTGATGTTAAATACGATTTTGTTCATATAAACAAAATTTTTGCTTTGCATTGTTGTTTTAAAACCGGTTAAATTGTTTGTTACCACATGAAATTAGTTTTAGATTGAACTGACAAACCACTTTTTACAGGGAATGAGAAAAATCAGAAAAAAGATTGGTTTATCTGTATTGCATAAGAACAAATTAAGTAATAGAAACTACAAAAATCAGTATTTTATATTATCTAGCAAAGAAAAAAGGTATGTCATGGATACTGTAATGATTACTGTAGCTGGTATGCATCATCTGGCCACATGCTCTCATCCACATCACACCTAATGTCCTCTCTTGCTTACACATGTACAAATAAGCACATGCTTATTATGTTATGGGCCTATAATGAACCAATTGTTGTGAACAACTCCAGAAGTGACCCCTTTTCGTAGTTGCATAGGATCAGCTCAGATGGAAATCAATTGTGATTGTCCTATTTACCTACATTTAGCCAGCAGTTTATCTCTATAGCAATTCTCATTTGGGGCAGAAATTGTACCATTCCAGGCTGTGAAGGGGATGTCAGTACCTTTCGGACCCTTCTCAAGGAACTGAACTGGGCATGGTTGATGTTCATCTTTACATGAGGCTAAAGTTAGCTTCCTATTTGCCAGCTTCTTAATAGAATGTTCTGTTTCAGAATGTAACTGCGGCACCATTTAAGGTGAAACGTAAAATTCACAAAACAAGCTGGCCAATAGGAAGCCAACTTCAGGACAACTTGAATTCAAAGTTATTAGTCTGCTCTGCACATTTCACTCCGGACAGTTTCTTAACCCTTGCACAATATCAAGTAAGCTCCACTCAGCGTTTGACACTAAAGATACTGAAAAGAGGGGCAGTTCTAACTTTTTTAGCATCACAACCCCAACAGCCACCTGTAAGCAGCAGCCATGCTGTGTGATTTTATCCAGTTTTTGATGGTTGAAGATCATCTTAAATTGACTAATTAAACACTAATTAAACACTAATTTCATATGTTAATTATACATGGCTAAATCTAACTAATAAACTCTTGATCCACTTTGGCTGCATAGTTGCTGGTAACCATGCTAGCTAGTAGTATCCATAAAGGTATCTAGACAGCTTGGTGAGTCACTCAGTAACTCAAAATGTAATCAGGCAAGGATAAGTGTGAGAGAAAGCTGCATATTCTCAAAACCAAAGAAAGCGACACAATCAAGTTTTAATATGTGGTCATATAGAGACACATTAGACATGTTATACATTATTATTATGTATTATAAGTGCCTTCCTCAAGGGTCCATCAGTAGCAACTTAGCGGTGCCGGGCATTGAGCCCACAACTGTGATCAGTGCCCAGGGCTCTAATCACTTAGGTTACTTAGGTTACCTCCACTGCCCCTATAATGTAACAATTGCACCCATCATTCTTGGGATAAATTTAAGATTAATTGCAGCAAGAACCAGCTTTATATCATTAAAGGGAAATTCTTATTTAACACATTTAATAGTACTACTTAATAATGTAACAATTTAACACCCCAGGTGGGCTTTTCTGGAATGTAAGCACTAGCTGAACAAAGTGTGCTCAGTAAAATGAACATCAGCCTTTTATTGAATACAGAGAATTAAACACTGGAGACATAATTTGCAGAGAACAGAAATGTCTGAAGAATACATCTCAAAATTACCTACATCTGGCAGTGCAGAAGAAGACATTGACTTATTCTCTGAATCCATTGAGAGCTTCAAAATTCTAAAGGTATTTTTTCTAACCAGGCCACACCACCAGTTCTGTTTTCACACTCATGAGAGGCAGTTACTAGTTACAGTTACTGAAGAAGACATATTGATGGTTTGTCCTCTCCTCTCTGGCTATTTTCAGAAGCTAATCTTTATTTATGCTTGTATATCCGTGAGGAAAATACTTCCAGTTTAATTATTTAAATACAGTTCCTCCTTCTCTTTTAGTGTGTAATTTTATTCTGTTTTGATGGTTTAGCTCCTGGACTGCTTCGTTGTTGCTCACACCTCATTTCAAACTTTGACATTTTTATACCAAATAAATCCCAAAAACAGAAAAATATATCTCCTATAAAACACCTCACTTAGGTTGATAGATTCTGCATGTACTAAGAAGTTCCACTGCAGTTGTATAAGGAACTGTAGGGAATACTTTAGGAGTTTTTGATCTGATACTTCTATTCTGTTTTTTTCTGTTTCCATTTATTTTGGGTCATTATTCCAATAATGTAAATTTATCTTGAGAATGGGCACTTCTGATTTATCAAATTGGAGTGGGATTCTTGCTTTAGTATTAATCTTTTTTTTGTTCATTCACAGATCTTTTGATATTTCTAATTGCATATTTTGTATTGTAGGCCCTTCACAGTGATTTCTTAAACTGCTTGTCTTTTAGCTGCTGTGACTCTCAGTAAGAGCTTTGAGTTCTTTTGGAGAGAATTTCTTCTTTTCTACAACTTGTCAAAACATGCTGAGAGGATCTGTATATTAGTCTCTACAATTCAAATTAGCTGGTTTGAGGTTGTTGTCTTTTACATTTCAGCCCATAGTATTTCACAGTTGGTCTAACATGTGTAGGTTGTTTTTTTGCCATTTCTTAAACCAGGAATTACTGATGGGGACATTTCTATTAGCACGGACAGTACACAGATTGGGGCTATTTTACGATGGACAGGGATCTTGGTCTGTAGTAATGAAACACCTTAGCATTCTCTCTGTTGGGCTTTTGGACAGCAGGAGTGCCAGAGGGACCAGGTGCACTAGAGTTGATACAAGATGGTCTATTACTGACGAGTGCAAATCAGTTTTGTGCAAGAGGCAAATACTCTACCTTAGTTAATGTGGACATAGCAAAGATTTTTTCAGCTTAATGGCCATCTTATGAGCTGACCTATCAATATACCAGAGTGATATACTACAGATTAGCACAGGTGCAAAATATGACATTTACACTCTGATTAGAACAGCTACAGCCCAGTATCATAATTATAAAAGCTCTTCAAATGAACGATACTCTACTCTCTGCAAACAAACGGCACAGTCAGTTTTATTTGACACTAAAATACAAGCAGTAATTTCTGAAAAGTACAAAATGTAAAAATTTTGTGATAGCATGGGAATGCAGTACATGATTTCATTCACTGTGATCAGTACAAAGAGTATTGATTGCATAACAGTGGTTTGTTTTTGCAGTCATTTCAATAATTACTATGTTATAAAAGGAATGTCAAGAAGTATTGGCTCACTATATAAGAAGAATCATAAGGACTGGAAAACACTGAGGTATGGACATTATCAAATCTCAGTAGATACTGTTCTATGTTTATGTATGATATGATATATCATACACACATGATAAAAATATAAAATATTTCTGCCAGCTTTTTCCACATAAATACATTGTACTATGACTGCAAGATACAAATTCTAGGAAAGCCAGCATTTTTCAGAACATTATACTGCAACAAAACGTTGCTTTTTATGAGTTGCACCCTACTCTGTAGCAGGTCTAGCATATAGGTCACAAATAGAGAGTCGTGTTTTTGAGACAGCCAGAGCAGGGTAAAGCGGCTCAGAGAATGTATGCTGGAAACTGTAGAGCAAGGTAAGAGTGCCCTCTTCAGCCACACTGTAGAATGTCAAGCAACCCTCCTCAAAATCCAAGAGTATCCCCACCTTCTGGAGTCCAGTGGCACACACAGCTGAGGTCATCTTGTCATGCAGGGCTTCCACTTTGCCCTTCTCACACACCAGGCACCAGGAGTTTGGGTAGAAGCCAATACGGCAGCTATCTTTCTGTCCCTTTCTGACTATCTGCCCGTCGCTGACACCCACCTTCCAGCGGCCCTCATCCAAAGAGACCTCCACCTCCCAATAGTGGCGGCCCTGGCACAGCGCCTTAGAGCCCAATATCTGGGGGAAGACAGTGAAGCGAGACTCATTCTCTGGGTAGGCCTGCTGGATCTCGTTGTACTCCACCTGTCTGTTCTCAGCAGAAAGGAGCAGCTTTGGATGAGCAGTGTCAGGATCCAGAGTTGGACTTATACCATCTGCAGGAAATACAGGACAAAAGATTGAAGATAGATTATCACACACTGAATACATCGAGCTCATGGTTTAGAAATAGCATGTTACAGTGTAATAACAGCCCAATTCAAGAGGCTTGTGTTGGTCTACTTCTAGTCATAGATGTTTGCTGAATGGGATCAAGAATACTACATGTTGCACTTGTATAAAAAGTCCATTTGTGCACACCTAATCCATCTAACCTATATCATTAAGTTCTCTTAAATATGGGAGCTCAAGGAAACACATTTATCGTGATTTACACTAGTGAAGGACTTACACAGCAGTCTGAACGGGTCCCTGTGAGGCACTGATATTATTACAATCTCAAGTCTTCTCTCGGTCCAGTCTTGCAGGCAGTCCAGTCTGCCTTGATTAACTTCCTCAATGGGCTCCAGGTTGTCCATAGGGTTTGATAGGCTATTAAAACTAGAGAAGGTTGGGGACATGAAGAGTAAGTGTTACTGGTGAATTTACTGACTAAATATTACCAAACAGACTTTGGCAATTGTCTCTAACATATTGCTCACTGCTGTTCAGGAAAAATCATGTACTACAGTAGATACAGGAAGGAGCATCCTCAGGACATGAGTAGCCATAATCTTTGAAGACACCTGCTGTCATATCCACAGTGGCCAAAACAAAAAAAAGCCCATATACTACATTGTCTTCAATTTTTTACACTTATGATTTTTGTGTGGTACCAAAACTCATCACACATCATCAAAACATCATACCAAATTATGATATTACCAAGCTGATGTAACATCATCAGACAGCTCATCAAGCTTGGAGGTGAACATTAACTGCCAATTCTGTTACGTCAGCTAAGATTCCTGTGTTGGCTAGTGTCACAAGAGAGAGCTTGTGAGGCTGTGGATGACCAGTGGGATCAAATTCAGCAGCGCCACTCGCCACCACAAACTTGGAAGGACCCATGTGTACATAGCCTTTTTTGACTGAATTTTACTAGTCTATGTTTGTGAACCAATCCAAGTCATTGATTTGCTATATACTTATGAATCACCAATTCTATCTTGCATTTTTGAGTGTTCTTATTTTGGTTAAGGTTTTGTGTTGCTGGTAATATATGTTTGTGCAAATGTGTTGATCTATTTAGATTATTTTACCCTTTTTACCAATTTTTAAATTGTTTTATTTTTATGTTCTTCTAAATTCCTAAAAGTTCTTTTCGTTTTAAATTTCAGATTTAAAGTAAAAAATTTGTTTACTTTCCATTATAAATTCCAATTTTTGGTCTCCTTTTTTTACCTTTCTTGGTAAATCACATCATATAAATGAGTGTTTTTCATACACTTCTAAATCTTTTCAAATTACCCAACACGCCACAAAAAACTCTTTAAAAAAATAACGTGGGTAAAAATAACCATCTTACTTACCATTCGGCAATCTTTCTGTACTCCTGAAAAGAAAAAAAAGAATTTTGCTCTTTTAGAGTGATGATAATAAAGCATTTCTCTAGTGTCTGTACAACCAATTATCACTTAAAGCATTCTTTTAAAATCTTCATTTCCCAGCAGCCCTTGCAGCTAGTCGTACCATGATGAAGGCCTGTTCCTGAGGTCGGGATGCTCCATGTGCATCTGCTAATCTATGCAGTGAGCTGAAAGTGCTCTGGATGGTTCTAAGTCCATGATTCAGTGTTTCGAGTTGGTCTTCAATGCTTCCCAGTACTCTGTTCTCCTCCTGGGCTACACAGCGCAGGGCCTGCTGTTCCTCCATTTCCAGGGCCTCCCGCATGGCTTGATACTGCTGTACAACAAAGGCCCGTGTGCCCTCCACCGCCTCCTACGAGAATGACGGCGGTAGGTGAAAGGTAGGAACATAAACACAGATACTTAGCGTTTAGGACTACAAATAATATATCTAGTTTATCTCAAGTACAAGAACTAGGGATAAATTACAATTTCCTAGAGTCTAGTCAGACACTTTAAGCAGCTGTATTAGAGGATAATCTTGTGAAATCTCCTGTACAATTTCACTTTATCAAGGCTAACTAAAACACTGCACTGCAAGTCTCTGCACAAGTCGTGTCCTGATAAATCAGCATCTCAAGTACCAACAATTACACTTACCTGAATATTGCTCTTTCTCTCTGTGAGCTCAGTCACTCTTTTCAAGACAGCTGTTTCTTTTGTCTGTATCTTCTTCATTTCACTATTCAGAGTGGCCTAAGAAATCAACAAATTTCAGATAAGCAAGCAGACATGTGGAATGACTCAATTATTAGCCCACTGCATATGACTACAAAGACTTTCAATTTAGTGACGAAACAAAAATAGCTATAATGAAAGGAGCTATATTCAAAATGAAGCTATAATAAATTATTACTGTTCTGTAAGACATTGGCCAAAATGCTTAACCCATCACTGACAAAGCAGAACTGTATGATGCCAAACTCCTTCTGTCTTTGCTCACCCTAAGCTCTTTCTCAGCCTCTCTGATGCTGATGCAGGCATGGTCCTTATGTGAGCCTATTACAGTGCACACAGTGCACACGCACACCCCACAAGGACGGCAGTAGATGCGGTTCATCTCCTGGTGCTCTTGGCACCTCCAAAGTGACACATCCTCCACGGCAGGCACAAGTGGGTGGCTCTGGAAAACAGGTGATTCCAAATGGCTCCGCAGATGCTCTGGGCACATAGATGCCCCGCATACCAGACAGGTCTTCACAGCTGACCTCTGCTCTTGACTGGAGCAGTAGTGGCAAAGCACTGAGCTCTCACTGGAAGGCCCCTCCTTACCAGATACTGGAGATATGTCATTGTGAGCTGGGACATTTTGTGACTGTTCCATAGGACGGCCTGAGGAGGTTTTGGCTTGTTGAGAGGACTGATGAGGATGAGTACTTGCTGGTGATGCTGGTTTTTGTTGGGGCCTCTCTATTCCACTACAGGATGGCTCTTCCAGATCCCCCTCTCTCATAGGATTCTCCAGTGATGATTCACTGGTTGAAGCCATGTTCTTTTTAGATGGTGTGCTATTTACTGGGGATGTAGCTTCTGTTGAGGATGTGTCACAAACAGGAGCTGTTCTTTGGTCTTCTGATAAAGGCGTTCCTGTGGCCTTTTTCTTTTTTGGTGGTGTATCAGGATCAGAAGAATCATTGATAGTGACTGGGCTGCTGTTGGATGGGCCTGTGCCAAGCCTGTAGCCTTCACTGGACGTCCTGAAGGTAGCTGAACTAAATTTCCTTTTCCCAAGCACATTTTTGGGGGAGTAGCGTGCAGAGAGTCTTTTCAAGTCTAAAAAACACAATGGCGATGGTACAGTTAAATATATGCAAAGATGAACTATAGAAACCACTGAATAAGTACCAAAACAGGGCATGGACAAAACAGACATTAACAGTATTTAATGCTGCCTCTGCAGACTATAATTATCAATAAAGATTAATTAAGTAATATTAGAAGCCCAGTTGGTAATTATATGGTAATTATACCATCCAGGGAAAATGCAAGCTGTACATTAAGTATGCAGCACTCACATGTGGTACTTTGTAACTGAATTTGAATCATGATGATACTGTTTATCTATGATTCTGCAAGCGATACCTGTTTGTCTAAATTTACAGTATTGTCCAAGCTTATTGTTTAACATTTTATGTTATATAACATTTTACAGCCCAGCACTGCATCCCTCAGCCTCATCGTTTTTTTCCCATGATTTTATATCCCTTTTGTGTTATCCATCAATGTTCTCTCACTACAGTACCCAGCATGCATTGTGTAAATAAGTCATTGAGAATCTTGTCACGACAATGAAGAAATCCTGACTTCTAGCATAGCCACTGATGTAGAGGCTAATAAATACAGATGTATGATATTTAGCTTCCTTAAAGTGACATTAACTATCTGTCTCTTCTTCCTCTTTAGCCCTGATAGTTTTTCAAATGTCTTCAAAAGTTTTGAAACCAGAAAATCTCGCTCTAGAGACTACTGTGGCACCACTGGAGGCGAGTGGACATGTTTAAAACAGTATATCTATTACTGTTTACATATTTAATTTTGGCCAGAGTGCTCTTTTAATGCATTCCCTGGTTTATCAGCGCAAAAACATAAAGGAATGTGAAATAACACGTTCATTACTTCTAAAGTGAAATCTGCATTGCAGTATTTGTTGTAGCCTTCCAGGAAGTGAGGACGGAATCATGGATCAAGGCTGTGTCCAAAACTACACACTACCATAGAAGTCCATTCATTAGTGTACTACGTTTAGTGCAATAGTGTGCAGTTTTGGATGTTTTTTTTTTTTAAATGTACGCGTTACAGGTCAGTAGATGTGATGAATATCGCGAGAATAAACTGCATTATTTAAATAACAAAGCTGTGGATGTAGCCGTCATTGCGCGCCAAACTGTTACCATCTAGATCAGGCCTAGTGTAGCCTACACTAATATGGCGCACTTCGTCCAGTCGAGAGGAAAACTGGAAGGCACAACAAACGATACAATTCATAAAAAGTAGCTGGAAAAGCGAGGTCAATGTACTTCTGTGCACTGCCGCAGACGAGGAGGCTCCATATGGGTCTCTGAAGTCTGGAAGCTCCAGGTATTCGTAATTGCATTCGGGGCAATAATAAGGACCCGTAGAGGAAACGCTCCACAGTTCTCCAATGCAGCCCTGACAAAAGCGGTGCCTGCATCCTAGTGTGATCTGATTCCGACACTCGCGATGACATAACGGACAAATACCTGGATGGTCAGCTGGTTTATCAAGTGAAGACCCCATCTGATCGGTTTAGCAATGCAACGCAGCACGACTGTTACAAAGAAACGAAACTTGTAAAATGCAGTGGGCGGAGACAGTTTACTCTTAAAGTGACAGGACCGCTGTATTCGCCGTCATTGCACAGTGAACTCTTGTGCTGTGTTCGGGTGCTCATCGGAAGGTTGTATACATCACACGGTTAACTAGTCAATACAACTTAACTCCGATCGGGTGCTTGTCCTTAAATACGCCCGTTAAATGGGGAAAAACATGAAGATCTGGGGCCACACTCTGAAATCGGTTTAGTTACCATGACAACTTCAAATGTCAGTTCAGCTACACAACCTGATATTCCGTTATTGTGTTGCAGTGCAGCCTAAAGCCTAAGCGTGTCGCCAAAGCGTACCTTTCTGACACAGTTGTCCCGACATCAAGGCTAGTCTGAACCAAACATGCATTCTTTTATACAAAAGCTTGTATTTGATAAAAAGCAGCAGTTTAAACGTATATAAAACATACTGAGAAAAACCCACAAACACACAAGCTCTAACTAGTTTTTAATCTCCCTAAACAGATTTTAAATGTACATAGCCTTTTATTTTAGAAACGTACAACAAAAGAAAAGAAAAATATAACAACTGAGAGAAAAATATAATGACTAGGCCTAATATAAAATGATTTTATAGAAAATGTTGTTGCTGACACTGTGCTAGATTAAAATTATTTACTAAACCAATTTACAAAGTATAAGTAAAGAAAGGAAGGAAGGAAAAATGGGTAAATTGGACTGTGAGTGGAAAATGAGCAATGTTATGTGGAATTTTGTCTAACACGCCTGGCAAACGCTGAGCAAAACACCATGGTGGACCGCTAGCTTTGCCATCAGCGGGCCGACAGGGGTCCGCATTCCTCTTGCTTTCAGCGAACTTGGATTCCAGGACATTTTGTGAAGAAGAATGGAGTTCGTTCTTTATTGAACAGACAACCAAAATTCAGGATGATCTAGGAAAACCCTGGATGGGTGAAAATGCTTAAAGAGATAGATACAACACATTCTCCATCAATCTGAAGAACCATTTTACCATGTATAGAACTATACAGTATATGTTTCACTGTAAGATACTGTGGCTTGCTGTTACTTTCCCAGTGCAAATATTCAGTTTAAGTAAATTATTTTATAAAGCAGCTGGAGTCAATTGATTGTTGGAAGCAAGCTCTAAATCTAGACTTAAACATTAGCTTTGAAAGTAAACCTTAGACACCAACATTAGATAAATTTTGAGTGGTATCAAATGCTACAGGTGGCCTTAAATGTAGCAAGCGTTTATTTTTAAATACTGTAGCTGAAATATTTTTTAAAAGTGTCTAATAATGGCATCTGCTGTGCACCTGGTTGTGTATACTCCTACAATATACATTTTATGATCAGGGACATAAGGACAGAATTATTTACAAATTAAGCTTGGACTGATTGCAATGATATCCCTCTGTTGGAAGATTTCATAACTACCAAATTTGAGTGTCTTCAGACCGAAGTTTCCAAGTAATTGCACCATCCCAGTTTTGGTCACTGGAGTGAATATCCACTACTGAAATAAACATAATATGTACAGCAACAAATGAATAACTTGGAGGTTGGATTTTATGTGTAATAAGTTACAAATATGTCATATTTGGCAACTGAACTTTATTGGGACAGCTCCACTTGCATGATATGTTGGTGGTCAATTAGAACTTTTCACACGATCAGAAAATATGTTTTCATCCCAAAGCCCTGAGAACATGCACAAATGGGACATTTCATGTATACAAAAACAAACACAGAGATAAGTTATGGATGAAAAGCGTAAAAGTTATTAGAAATTGTAATCCTGCAAAGAAAAGCACTTGAACACATTGAATTGAATAATATTAGCAAACAACCACAAAGAAACAACTAATTTCAGTCCATACTACTGTCAACCACCTAACTTTATAGAAACCTTTACATTATTAAAAAATTTGACACAATGTGTATTCCTGGGTATTTATAAAAGCTAGTACACTCTAGGGCTAATTAGAAAATGTGAAAATGCTTAAGTCAGATCAATCCTTTTTCCTTTTCATTCTGAAATGCAAAGATCAGGCTGTGATTGTAAGAAAAAAATCATTTACATACACAGTACATGAAGAAATATCTGATTTGACTTGATGTCTAAATGAAGTGTAAAACACATATTTCAACATCTGAAACACCCAAAAGAGAAACTGAACATTTCCTCTTCCATAACTGGCTGGAGTCTTTGCATGCTTTGAATATTGAATGCTATTAGTCAAACTAACAATGAGTTTGTCCCTCAGTACGCTGGGGCGGCATTACGGACGGCACAGCACAGTACCATGGTGAAGATCATCTCGAAGACCTGCAAGCAAAAGAGCAAAAATGAAAGAAAGTAATGAGAAAACAATATCCACTTCACCTTCTGTCAAGGTGCGTTTTCAACAGAATAATTCCAATATTTCTCACTCAAGCACTACTTAATTTTCTCGTAATCAAACTGTTATACACAATGCATACAGCACACGTTATTAAAGGTCATGTAGTATGAATTTGAGTACCATGATGACAGCAATGACGAGGGCAGCCAGACCAATCACATGGAGTTTCTCGGTAAACAGGTCTCTCAGCTTTGTGTGGCAACTCTGAGAAAAAGGACATAAAGCATTAACACCATCTTCAACTTTAATATATATACTTTGTCTGCCACATTGCTGCGAATAAGGGTGAAAAGAACAATAGTCATGTAATATTTCTCACCTTTATAAAATTGTGCAACTAGTCAGTGCTCCTACTGAAATGTACAGTGTATGTTTCAATGTTTATTTCTCAAATAGTGATTTATTTATTTATTTTTTTATTCAAAAGACATCATCATAAACTGGTGTGAAAGACTGAACAATTTTTAACACAATATTCTGCCCAAAATCATGTTATTTGTTATCAGGGTTATTACTGTAAACTAAAAGATTTTTTTAGAAACTGACATACTGACATATGTACCTGTGAGACGAGTGGATCGACTTCTCCTTTAGGACAGAGAGTGGCTTTAACAGCCAAGAATAACACGTTGTCATCTCCTTTACCACAACACTCGAGCTGAAAGAGAAACAAAGGAACCATTTTAAAACCATGCCACAAACTTCATCAAAACATTGAGCTTCAGTACAATTTTAACTCTATATTCTCCACCTCCAACACACACGCACACACACAAACATTACAGACAAACATCACTGCCAGAAAACAGATGAATTTAGTTGATCACAAAAGTAGTTGTAGAGCCATGAGGAAGTCTTCATAACATGGTTATGAGGCCAACAAGAACAAAAAGCTTATAAACTCATTTCCAAAAAAAGTTGAGACACTGTGCAAAATATAAATAAAAACAAAATACAATCATGTGTAAATTATTTAAACCCTATATTTCATGAAAAGATCAAATTGAAATTGGAAAGAAACCATGTCAAATATTGAAACTGAGAAATTTGAATGCTTTTTGAAAAATATATGCCCATATTGAATTTGATGCCAGCAACACATTTTGAAAAACCTGGGACAGAGGCTTGTTTACCACTGTGTTGCATCACTTCTTCTTTTAACAACACACTGTAAGCGTTCGAGAACTGAGGAGATCAATTACTGCAGTTTTGAAAGTGAAATGTATTCTCATTCTTGCTTGATATAGGATTTCAGCTACTCAACAGTTCAGGGTCTCCTTTGTTGTATTTTCTTTGATAATGTGCCAAATGTTTTCAGTGGTGACAGGTCTGGACTGCAGGCAGACCAGTTTAGCACCCAGACTCTTTTAATATGGAGCAATGCTGTTGTAATACATGCAAAATGTAGTTTGAGATTGCCTTGCTGAAATAAGCAAGGCCTTCCCTGAAAAAAGACACCATCTGGATGGCAGCATATATTGCTCCAAATCCTGTATATATCATTCAGCTGTCATAGATGTGCAAGTCATCCATGCCATGTGCACTAATGCACCCCCATACCATCATGGATGCTGGCTTTTGAACTGTTTGCTGATAACAAGCCGGATGGTCCCTCTCCTCTTCAGCCCAGAGGTCTCAGCATCCATAATTTCCAAAAAAGAACATAAATTATGAGTCATTGAAGGACAGGACACTTTTGCATTTTGCCTCAGTCTATCATAAATGAGTTCAGGCCCAGAGAAGGTGGCGGTGTTTCTGGATCCTGTTTGTATGTTGTTTCTTCATTGCATGGTAGAATTTTAACTTGCAGTTGTAGTTGCAGTGACAAACTGTGTTCACAGACACAGAGTGGTTTTCAGAAGTGTTGCTGAGCCCATGCAGTGATTTCCATTACAGAATCATGTTTGTTTTTAAAGCAGTACCGCATGAGGACCCAAAGATCACGGCCAGACAGTATTGGTTTTCAGTCTCCATATTCTCTGAATCTTTTAATGATATTATGTACTGTAGATGATGGAATCCACAAGTGTTTTTCTCTTTTACATTGAGAAACATTTTTCTTTAATTCTTGCACTATTTGCTTGCACAGTCTTTCACAGAGTGGTGAACCCCTCCCCATCTTCTGAAAGCCTCTCTGGCATGTTACTGATCTGCTGTCAATAAACCTAATTAGTTGTGAGATGTTCTGCCAGTTGTTTTTTAGCATTACACAACTTTACCAGTCCTTTGTGGCCACTGTCTCAACTTTTTTGTGTTGCTGGCATCAAATTCAAAATGGGCATATATTTTTCAAAAAACAATAAAATCTCTCTGTTTGTACTATTTTCAATTAAATATAGGTTTTAAATGATTTGCACATCATTGCATTCTGTTTTTATTTGCATTTTGCACAGCGTCCCAACAGGGTCATAATAGGAGCTGAGCTAAAGTGAGTAGAGGAATGGCCTATATGGCTTACAGTTTCATGGAAGACCAACAGAACTTTAGTAGCGGCCTGTCTGGTGACTGAGTCCACTGGATCCACAGCTTTCATGTAGGCAGCATCATAGAAGCCGATGAGCTCTGTGGAGATCTGAATAGAAAATAACTGCAGTTAGCTTTGTATGACAAAATACAGCAATCATTTGTACAACTGTGTGGGGTCAGTGACATGTGAGTGTAATGTGTGTTCATGTACCGTGTCCCTATTGATGAAACCCCATATTCCTGCTGCCACTTCGCAGGCAAACAAGATCACCAAACATGTGAAAAACTGAATGAGAGAGAGAGAGAGAGAGAGAGAGAGAGAGAGAGAACTTAATGTTACAAGAGTAAACAAGTGAACTACCATCCTTGTCTTAATGAGGGTCACTCAAGCAATGGGCAACACAACACATTATTTGGTCAAGAAACATGCAGTCTAACATATTAGTCACTTATTGAAAAAATAGTTCAGGATTTTTGTCAGTTCAAGATTTGATTAACCAGCCTACTTAATCCATCCATTCATCCTAGACAGCAGAACACACATTTAGAATTTTAGTACATCTTGGTAGAATCATGCGAGTAAAGACTGGTCAGCATTAGGTTTAAAATTGTGCTGAACTTCCTTTTAACAGGAAGTGAGCAAAAGGAAAAATGAAAAATGTAACGATCATTCTATTTGTTATAAACATCTTGAAAGGAAGATTTATTGGTTTATATGTTAGGAAAACCTCCTTTCTGATGATGTATCTCAGAGGTGGAAGAATTTTTTGAAAGATTTTTTTTTCTAGCTGGCCTAAATTCCTTTCACAAAGAAGAAGTCTGATGAGCAGTTACAGTTAGCACTTTATCACTGAAGCTAACCATAACCACAGATGTATTTATTAGCCTGTTAATGCATGCTGGGTATTGTAGTGTGAGAACATTGATAGACGAAATCATAAGAACAATACAAAATCGTGAATTCTGTCAAACTGATGAGGCTGAGGTATACAATGCAGCGCTACAGAATACTATGTGACATAACAGCATATTAAATGCTAGTTTTAGGACAGAATCCCTGCTGAAATGACGAGCACAGAACAGCATGAACTCCATGCTGGTCTATGCTGGTTTATGCTGCCATCTGGTGCTAGTGTAGCTGGTCACCCAGGATGGTCAGGGCCAGCATCCAAAACACAGCACATGCTGGTTTTGCTGGGGACCTGCTGTGTTGATCTAGGCTGTTTTTTTCTAAAAGAGATAGTGGCTAAAATGTGATTCTCTGGTTACTATGTTGTCTGGCTGTTTTATAAAAAAAACAAACAGTACGTACTGTTCCAAGTAGGCACTGAGACTCTTGAATGGCACCGTAGCAACCAAGAAATCCAACAAACATCATCACAGCTCCAACAGCTATCAGGACATAAACACCTAGAAAAATGACCAAACATTTATGTGCATGAGCAGGATGTTTCAAAAGCGTCTCTTCAAACATCTTTTCAATTATTCACCTCAGTTTATTGAATTGTTGTGTGGGCATCCAGGGTTCCCCTTTATTCAGCCGTTTCACTGTTCTAGTGCATATAGGTATATGTAAGTAAGCGAGGCCCATTCCATTTCATCCAGTGCAATCAATAAGCTGAAACGCATAATTAACATTTACTAACAGGCCTGCACTTGTATGAGAAAGAACTCATTGCAAGAAATACACATAACCTTAATTCAGCTTGTGAGTTTCTCTAAAAGATTTTGGTCTTTATATATGTATTGTTGACCAAACAGATTTAGCATATGAAGTTTGCTCCACTCTTGTCACACAATGAATCTCACATCTTTATCATCCTGTCCTGTGAAACTTCCTCTTCTCTTTGTGTCTGCATTTTAATCACTAGCTTCTCTCCCCTCCAAGCCTTTACTCCCTCCTTTTTTCTGTATAAGACATGATGTTGTGGTCACTGGGGGCTGACATCTAAGCTTCACAATAATCTGCATTTCTGCCGCTGCCTTCATCACCACAGCAACATGTGGAGGGGGCGTCAAAGAGTAGTTCAGCCTACTGAAAGGAAAGCAATTACAACCATAGGGAAAGCCAGACTAAACAGAATCACACCACATCACAGTCACAGTGGTCTGAAACAGATTTATATAAAAGGTGAACTGAGTCAGAATTGTTTATAGAATCAGACATATAAATTATTTAATGACAATAAAAGCTACCTCAGCTACCTCATTCAGTTAAATGGTAACGAACACATTGCCTGATACCTGTGACATTGTTTTATGATAGCTTTTAGATGGTTTTGGCATGTAATGTATTTTTTAAAACACTGTCATGGCGGAGACATACAAACCCAATTCCAAAACATTTGGGACAGTAGGAAAAATGTAAATAAAAACAGTTTTCGGACTGTATTCACTTGAAAACAGTACAAAGACACAATATTTAATGTTTCAACTGATTAACTTGATTATTTTTTGTTAATATATATGATTATTCTAATTTTGATACCTGCAACACATTCCAAAAAAGTTGGGACATTTATGTGCATGAGCAGGATCACCTTTCCTTTTAAAAGTCTTCAGTAATCGTTTGGGACACCAATTGTTTTCCCATTCTTGCTTTATATAACACTGGGTTCAACAGTCCAGGGTGTCTGTTGTTGTATACAGTGCTTCATAATACACCTTACATTTTCAATAGGAGACAGATCTGGATGGCAGGCAGGCCAGTCTAGCACTCGGACCCTCTTTCTAAGAAGCCACACTGCTGTAACGTGCAGAATGTGGCTTAGCACTGTCTTGCTGAAACAAGCTGAGATGTCCTTGAAAGAGATGTTGTCTAGAAGGCAACATGTGTTGCTCCAAAATGCCTGTGTACCCCTCAGCATTAATGGTGCCTTCACAGATGTGCAAGTTACCTATGCTATTGGTACTAACACACCCCCATACCATGACAGATGCTAGCTTTTGAACTTTGTGTTGATAAGTTGGGATGGTCTTTTTCTTCTTTGGCCCAAAGAAAACGTCCATTATTTCCAGAAACAATTTAAAAGGTGGATTTCCACTTAGCTCTCACTTTTAGATGAGCTTTAGCCCAGAGAAGTTCTCCAGATTCTCTGAATCTTTTAACAATGTTATGGACAGTCGATGATGAAATCCCATCTACTGTTGGAACGTTGACCCAAACTTACTCATAAATGACTGAGCCTTTCATCAATACTCATGAATCAGGATAGCATCACCTGTTACCTATTCACCTACTGAAAGTTACAAAATAGGTGTTTCTGATTATTCCACAAACTTCCCAGTTGTACATTGCCCCTGTCCCAACTATTTTGGACTGTGTTGCAGGCATGCCATTTGGGATTAGCATATATTTACAAAAATGAATGAAGTTCATAAATACCTGTAAAATATGTTTACAAATTGCTGCTTTCTGTTTTTATTTGAATTTTCCATACTGGCCCTAACATTTTTAGAATTAGGTTTGTACATGCAGAGCATTACAAGACAAAACAGTAAGCTTATTCAGTTTTACCACTATTGTACCATTATCAAAATTACATGCAGAATTCAGAAGACAAATGTAGGTAGTTTGCCTTGGATAGTAAATAGAATGGCTATATTTGTGTTGTAGATCCAAGACAGCAAGTTTCTCTACAATGCACTACTTCACATCTAAACACTCTGAATGAGTTTACATTCCTTAACATCTTAATCAAGGACACACGCAAACACACACATACACACACATACACACACATTCCAACTCTGGAAGTTATTTACATAATTTTGATCTTAATTTTATTAACCCTATTTTAGCACTAATGTCATGCATTCCAGCTAAAGATGCTAATGTTTATTAGTGAGTCATGATGATATTGGCAACAGCAGACAATTGCTCTGAATACTAATGTCAAACAGATGATGGTGGTGTTATTTTGATGTCCTGTGTGGAGAAACTGGAGTTAATCCAGCATTAATCCAGAATGGAAAAGAAAGAAACAGAAAACGACAAAGAACAAAGGTTAAAATCTGTTTTTCAAAAGGCAGGACAAAAGAATTGTAGGATTTCACATGGCAATCATGGCTACTGACTCTGAGTGACTCCAAATTTCAGCTTTTGAACATTTCTAAGCTGTTATGATTTGCCAAAGTGGCAGGGCCTAAGCATATTTTTGAAACAGTTTAACCAGCAGTTAAGCAATCCAGCGTACTAAAAACATCCACTGCACGTTCTAATTTGTGGAGTAATGAGCACATGTGTAGGATTATTTGAATTACTCATGGGTGTGCAGTGGAAGCCCAGAGCATGATTGACAAGATGAAGGAAGAAAAATAAAGTCTTGATCTTTCTCTTCTTTGCTTGGGTGGGCCAAACCAGCCAGCCAACCCCTCAAAATCAAAAGAGAACATCGGTGCTATAAAAAGCTAAAGGCGGAGGGCACTGCAGTTTTCGCCTTGTAGTTAAACTCAACAGACGGAGACAAGCAGACGGCCCCTACGCAAATGAATGGCCACTAACTGCAAGTTAGTGCCCACAGTAAGAGAAGCACAGAGGCTGGATGAACTATGTATCCTCAGCAGCTGCATGAATCTCAGGGTACATAAAGTACAGGGAGTGTGTGTGTATGTGTAAGGGTGGAGTGTAACACACCCTGTGGTAAAATTGTGCTTCTCCCTGGTCTAAAATTAGGGCCACTCTCCACTGTATGGGTGTGGTTCCACAGAGAGTTGTATTTATATAAGGGCGAAAGGGGGGTACATTTACAAAAAACATATTTAAGTATGGGAGGCACTGAAATTCTTTAAATGACAAAAACTTAAGACTCTTTAAAACAGGTTTGCATAGAGTTTAGGGGTCCGGATACCACTGTGAATCATAAAAGATAATGTGAATCAGAAATCATAATGCATTTTCTTTCCGCACCGTCACGTTTGTGAGTGAAACATGGTATGATAGTTGGGAATGGTGGGAGGGTAATGCAAAACATGATATGACTGGTTAATTGTTGGTTACATTTTTCCCCTCCTGCTGGTGCAGTGTGATGTAATCAAAGTTCAGAAGACGTTTTAGAGGCAGAAAAACATTACTGCACATCCATAAATTTACAGGAAAACAAGAATGGTGTGAGATGATGAATATGCTGGGTGCTTAATATAACTAAGCAAATGATTTTGGATTCAAGTTTCCTCCTAACATATGAGGGAAATTACACAATAGATTATTTTGATTGTGTATAAAAATGCCCTAAGACCAGTGAGGAAAGATAAACAGTAGTTTATAAATAATTGGTAATTTATTATCTATTATTGTGGATTGCAAAATGATCTGCAAAGAATCCATGTTTGACCATTTAATACACATTTACCGCAAAGGCACTCAGACACACACACACACACACACACACACACACTTATTATATATGATCAACAAAACGTAGTTTTACTGAGTTTGTTAAGCATTTGACTATGTAGACATAGGAGCAGAAAACGTTGAAATTTTGTTGAACCCTTTATGAAATCATCAAACTAAAATAATAATATTACTAAGGAGAAACAAATGGCCCAAAATATTTCACTTCAAAACATAATGTATTAGGTAGCATCATTACTTACACTATACTGCCTTCATCATTTGCCGAGCACAGTCCCTGAAGGACTCACTTTGCCTAAAATAGCTTGTTAAGAATGAATTGACAGATGTATACAAAAAGAAACGTTTGTTTATTATATTATGACTTTAAATTTATAATCCTGTCAGTAGTGTGTAAGCACACACACATCATGACCCAGTGGTCCATGCATTCTTGTGGTTATTAAACTACACAAAAGACAGAGGATGTACGCAGGTCCTGTTTCCTGTCTCTCTCTCTCTTTCATATGGTAAAGTGGAGGTTTCAGGACTCATTGTTCACAGCTCACTACAAGGGAAGCCAGTAACATCCTAAAAGACCACCCTGGTACCAACTACAATAACTATATGGATTATATTTATTTATTTATTTATCCATAAATGCTTCATTGATGCCAAGTAATCAAACGGTTTGTTGATTTGAGTGATGACAGCACAATTCCCAATTAAATCAAACATCTGCACAACAACACACTTTACAGTCCAGACAGTCCATGTACACTTTCAATATCCACCTTTTCTGAGTATTACATATTAGGCCTTATAGATTTACCAAAGCAAAACTTCAAGTGACATTTAAGTGACTAAATAAGATAAATATGATGTAGCCTCATGGTATGGCTCAGATTAAGATGCTTTGTCATTTGATATAATAGGTGCAATCATTCTCTAAGGCACACATAACCACCCCTATTTGTTGGGGAAAACTAAGGTCTATGCTGGCTAGCTTAGCCATGAAGTGGAAGTGCAGTAGTACTAAACGTACATTATATAAAGTGCATGTTCATTAACTGATTTTTATTACATTACACCTTCTTACTGGTGGGTTGAACACTTTTGATCCAGCATATGAAATATTACAGCATCAATCCTTATGACTTACTGATGTAGAATGTTCCTGGAGCTTGGGTCCCCTCTAACTGAAGCATCAGGAGATTGCTGGTTTGAGCATCATGGCGAAGCCACAGAGCTACTCCCAAAATAACACCCCCAGCCAGCTACAACAGAAAAAGATATGTAAAGTAAGAAAAACAAGCATATGACTGTACACTCTCTATTAACAGGCAGTTCTCTAGGGATGAATCAGTCATCTGGTTAATCCATCTTCTAAGGTCACCTCTTCCACAAATAATAGGCCTGACAGTTTTTAGGATGTTTGTGTTTTGAGTACTATGTTCGTGCGATATTTAGTGGGTGAGAGAGGAGCCTCTTTGGTTTCTGGATGTCAGCGGTTTATAAGATATCTTTTGGCGTATCAGTGATCTCTATTCAATTGTTTGTTGAGCAGCAGGAACCCACAGCTCCGGTGAGAAAAGTGAGGCTGACACTCTGTGACGCTCGGTCACCAGTGGAGCACAATAAGTGGAAGTACTGCATGACGGTTTGCCACTTTGTTGCATCAGATCCAAGAACATGGATCTGATGAAAAAAATAAAAAGATGCCACACCTCTAGCACAACTGGAGACTGGAATAAAAGTTGTGCATTTGTGCATGAAATGAAAGAAGCCAGTCATGAGCTTTGAACTCTAGGTTTGTCTTTCCAATGCTGGGTAAAAAAGACACAAGATTAAAAAGGAGTGTAGTGAGCATGAAAATTAAAGGGGATTTACTTCACATAATTAAATCATTAAGAGGTCCACAAAGTCATCCAGAGTGATTTGATGTGAAATGCCCTGTACTAAAGAAACTCACTGAGTCAGAATTGCACACAGAGCTGGTGATAGTAACCAGATGTTCAAAGTGTTTAATGAAAGCTCACAGAAAGTTCTTATGTGAAATGGTTACAAACACACTGCCTGAATTATTATTTTACAATAGTTTTAAGACCATTTAGGTGATGTGAGGCAAAATAGAAATGATGTGAATATCATCAATCCAAAAAAAAATCAGAAGACACATATAGGTTCACTAGACATTTTGGATAATGAATACAATTTCATATTTGCATTGTAGATATTGTGACTCCTGGTAACTACTAAGTCAGAAATCTGAGTCAGAAAGATTCTCTACACCATTACACCATTTACAACGCAGCATCAAACCACACTGAATGACTCATGTTTATATCTCAAAGCATGAAGTGTTTCCTTTTGAAACATCAGTGGAATTCCACTTTAAGTTGGACAGATCTGGGCTGAAAATGGTGCAGCAAAATTAAACAGCAAAATGTCAGTGGAAGATGGAAAGACGCAAAAGTGTTGAAGCCACACAGTTTCTAATATTGTTGCACTCACATTGTATTTTGCCATTCTTTCCTCAAACTAAGAACTATATTGTCTTTTGCTAAAAAAAAAATAAAATACACCACACAAAAGCCTGCACTGAGAGGATAGGGTTTAGAGACCTACACATGCCACGTGTAAGTATTTCATGATCATTCCTCTGGCAATGGCAAATCCAGTTTTATTATCAAAGCAAATTGTTTATTCTTCACCTTTTGGGATTTGCCACTGGAGCGCAGTTCATCAGTTCATTAATAGGGAATAAACCATTAAATGTCAACATTCATAATTTATCATATGTTGCTTCAAGAAATCAGCTAAGACTGTAGCAGTAAACAAGATAATTAGCTTGGGAACAGGGCTGGAGTCAGTCTCAGAAATAAGGCTACGTTTTAGCATCTTTCAGTCCTGCAGATGTTATTACTGCTCTCTAAACGTCTTTGCTGTGTAGCTTCGACTGTACAGCCACGTAGTCGCCACTCTCTTTATATCAATATTAACCAAACGACTTCTGATTTCACACACTATGAAAAATAGTAAAAGAAGAGGACTCGTTTTATGCACACAGCTTATGTCGCTGTTGCTCTTTTGGCATCTTCTCCTGCTGCACATTAAGTTTTGGCAAAGTCACCGGAAGAACACAGAATGCTGCATGACTAGCGCTGCTTGGGAAAAGCTCATGTCTGTTACACTCATGGTCTTATCTGATAGAAGTTTCCGGATATTGAATTCATGGCTTGATTTCAGGATCGTACAAACAAACAACAAACAAACAAAAAAAACTTAATATAATCTACAGCAAGCGCTGCTGCTGCAGCATCAGCGATAATTTAGATGAAAATAATATCATTTAGGTGGAAACAACTGTTTTTTCTCGGTTTCAAGCGCTGAAATATGTTCATATGCTCAGTGTAAATCCACGCGTTCTCTCTAACCGGCTTTAGATAAAACTACATAAAAACAAATCCAAGATTTTTTTCCGCTATAATCTGTGACTGTGAATTTCGATATTACAGACATCTTATTTTTTAACTCAAATGTTAGTTTCCGTTTTAAAGATGCCTTAGGCTACTCAAATAAATAATGCATAAACTCACCCAAAAAATGAAATTGAAGAAAAAAAGCATGTACTTAATACACTGAGAACAGCCCGTTAGAACCATGGTTGGCTGAGGATCCTCGTGAGTTCCAATGAAACGATGCTGGGTGTAAATTAGCCTCAGAAATGAGTCTACAAAAGACTACAAAAACCATCCAAGCAGGGCTGCGTGCTGTCAGAGGGCTGTTCCACACTATGTTCATGTCACACACAGGAGCCCAGTGAAGGTAGAAAACTGAGACGGCCCACAATTTGAGGCCGTGAGGCGGACACACTGTGCCTCTATCACACAGCCCCACATCAGATTCTTTAAAGTGAGCTTCATTTTGACCGAGCAATGTTTTCCAACTATAAACCATTTAGGAAAAAAGTCACTGTGTTTACTCCTTACTCCTCCAGTTTCCGCTCAACTCTTTATGTGCAATAACTGCCTCAAATAACTGCGACCCAGTTGTGTCACTAAACTCTTGAATGCTCTGCCAGATCTTTATGGCAGACTCTTACAGTTTGTTTTCAGGGTTTTCTAACTTAAGTGTCCTCTTCGATAGGCAGGGGTGTAGCATCAAAATTTACCAAATTTGGGCCCCAGACACAGCTTACTTGCTGCATTGAATAAAATTCTGTGCTTCTTTATCAGCTTCTGCTTGTTACAAATGACTGCAAATGTAGCTAATTTCACTGATATGGCTAATTGCTAGTTAGCTTATGTTACAAAACATTTACTTTTGGCACTTTAGGCTCACCTGTTTTCTGAAAGAAACGAGTCAGAAGTTGTTTGCCCATTTATTGCTTTCTTGTTTGCCACTCCTTTTGTTTCTGAAATCTTGAGTTTGGTTTCATTTTGACCAGGTCAGAATTGGTACACAGCCGCTAATGAAAGACATGCACGCCGGAGGACTGAAGCACTTTTGAACTTATCATGGAAGATGCAGGTGTTTATTGTTTATTTCTACAATAACAGAAAGTAACAAAATTAGAAAGCAAAATCAGTTTATTTCTGAGGCTTTTGGGGTACCCCTCCCCAACCAGGGGGGCCACCTAACCAGGGAGGGCCCTGGTTAGTCAGGTCCATCATTACCTGTGGTACGATGCCCCTGTCAACAAGTGAAATGCATTCTCAATTGTGTTTAAATCAGGAGACTGACTAGGTCAGTCTATAACTTTTGACCATATGTTTCCAATGAACTTATTGGTTAAGTGTGTGCTGTGCTTACGGTTATTGTCTGCAACACATTATGAACCCAGTGAGTTTGGAGGCATTTGCTTGGACATTGGGAACATAAGCTGTTTATGTACATTTCAGAATCAGCTATACTGGCCCAAGCCATGGTGCTGCCTCCAACTTGCTTAAATAGATGGAATTGTGTTCATAGGATCCTTTGCAGTCCCTTTCTTTCTCCACACTTTTCTCTCCCCATCACTTTAATAAAGATTAATCTTCACCTTATCTTTTCATAAAACTTTGCTCCAGAACTCTTTTAGCTTTGTCTGTCTTTGCGAATTAACGTAAAATGAAACTTTAATTCAAACAGATTAAAATGTGATCTCAGCTTTAAAATGTGATTTGAGCATGGTTCATTAATGAGTTGTAAACCTTACAAATAGACATTACAACATTAAAGGAATGCTTCTCAAAAAAGAATTTAAACAATTTTCCATTAGCCCAAACATAATTCATCAGCCAGAAAGATGTATTTGGTGTCCAAAATTTGCTTCTTCAGTTTTGCGCTGGAGCTAAGATACTCATGTAGCTAACAAGTAATGGATGTCCAGTTTTGGTGGCAAACTTCTAGTATATCAGCCATGTAGCTCCAGAGCAAAATAAAGAAGCAAACTTCTTGTACCATACATGCCATGGCTGTTCAAATATGTCTGGGACTGTGGCATAGCCAGAATTATATGGAAGGGGGAACTTCATTATGCTGTGATGCTGGACAACCACCAACTAGTCCACTGCATTGTAGCTACTATAGTAAGAGAGAGAGAGAAAAAAAACTAAATGTTAAACACAACACAATTGCTGACCTTGCATTTATTTTATTGTCTAGTTACTATAACAGCTGACAGCATACCATAGTGAGTACTGGCTAATTAACCATAGGTCTTTTACAGCACTACAAGTAGTCTAGAACCTTTACCATTTACTTAGCTTGCTAGTAACCTAGCAAGTAAAAAGGGTTGTGCTGTGCTTTATTGTAGAGTTGATTTATAACTGCAATGTTAATATTACAGCTGTGTAACAATGCCATGATAGCAACCACTGAAAACTGGAGGTCAAAGAACAATTGGCTGTCACTTTTATTTTAAGGTGGTTAAAAAAGCAAGATGATGCAACTCATCCTGTACTATAAGGGGAAGACGAATTACATTTTATAACAATTTCATTGGCATCAGAGGAGTCTTTTGGTCTTTTGAGCAGTCAGAAATCTCAAAGGGCCCAATTGAAGATGCTTAGGCCCCCCTGAGATCCCTTCATAGCTAACCCCTAGTTTGGGCTTGGGAAGAAATCTGAGTTTTTGGTAAACCATTATTTGAACCCTAGAATAGACATTTTAATAAATTTGTTGAAAACAAACACACCTTTACTTTCAATACTCTTAATACAATACGGAGAGTTCCCAGGACTAGAATATAGGGTATAACTTTGGACTGAACATTGCAGGGGTTGAAGAGGACCTCCTTTGGCAGTCTTGCTTGCATTACAGCCATGGGAAAGAAACGGCAAAAGCTAAACACCTTTTGGAAATATGCAAAAAATATAAGGATTTATTCTTACCACAATAATTCCAATAACAAAATGACATAGTTTTATTGGTTAGATTAAGTGATCTAAGGTATATTAATGAAAAATACCGACATGTTTCTAGGCAGAGTTTGTTATGTGTACTGTTGTCACAATACTGTGTCCTCAAAATTAAGGTCTTAATCCTTACAGCAAAATATTATCTATACTGTTGTTGATCCTTTTTGGTCGTCAAAAAGGCCCAAAAATGCCTTCATTTCCACAGGAGGCTGAGGAGAGTAAACCTCTCACATCAGCTCCTTTGCAACTTCTACAGGTCCACAGTGGAGGGCATTCTGACCAACTGCATCACAGTCTGGTATGGCAGCTCTACTGCTGCAGAATGGATGGCTCTGCAGAGGGTGATAAAAACTGCCCAGTTCATCACTGCACCTGTCCTCCCACAGGACATTTACAATAAAAGCTGTCTGAGGAACGCCAGTATCACCTCAGACCCCACATACCCCAGCCACATCCTGCACTCATTGTCCATTTTATCAGCTCCATGTACCATATAAGTGCACTTTGTAGTTCTACAATTATAGACTGTAGTCCATCTGTTTGCTATGGAAATGGCCTGATGCACATGCTACAGTCACTGGGGATTTTCTGACTGAATCAATTATTTTACGTAGCACTTCTAAATTTCTGATTCTTGGTGATTTTAACATTCATGTTAAAATTTATCACCGCCTGTCCGAGCCTTTAGTAGGAGATGTTATTATTGTAACTTATTGACTCTTTTAATCTGACTCAGTCTGTTACTGGCCCTGCTTATGAGCATGGACATACTTTAGACCTTGTTTTGTTATTTGTTTTCTCAGTGTGCAATTTAGAGATAGCAGATGCATGTTTGTCTGATCACAGACCAGTCTCCGCCCACAAACTAAACAGTTTGTCCCACTTCTGCCTGCGCAGTTTCGTTAAGGTGAACTGACATCCAAGATCTGACATAGTCTATTCACAAATACATTATCCCCTGCTGAAATAACACAGGAGTCATGGTCATCAGGCTCACTGTGTGCCATTTATTGCCAGTAAACACAAAGCAAGAATGGTTACTTTTGGTGTTTTGCTGGGCTCGACAGCTGTGGCCATCAGACTGAAGGCTCCGCCAACTCTCTTAGCTACAAGAATTTGATGTGATCAGTTGCTTCGCAACTCTTTAGAATGACTTTAATTATTTGAATTGTTTTTATGTTATCATTTTATTTTGTTTATACACGTGTATATGTCTATGTATATATATATATATATATATATGTATATATATATATATACGTATATAAATCATACATATGCATATGTAAATCCTACACACACACACACAAATATATATATATATATATATATATATATATATATATACATGATTTAGTGATCGGTTTACTTTACGTTTTACTTTATTTAGGCTATTCATTAATTTGCAGGCCTGCAGTAAGCTAGTTCCAGCTGCTCCTGCACACAACATTGAAAAATTTGCCCCGTGCCACAATATATTGTGGCGGGTCCAGCGGAAATCCGCAGAAAGCAGACCTCTAGTCTCAGCCATGGCTCAATGTTGACACTTGTGCATTTAGATAGGAATGGAGGAAGGCAGAACGGAAATGGAAGAAAGATAATCTTCAAGTCTCTTACCAAATCAGTGTATGTGAAAGCTGATATGCCAACATGATCGCCAAACATTCACATCTTATTAATTCTTTTTAAAACAATCAATAAGATACTGCATTCTACCATTATATAAACCCCTGAGGCAACTGCTGAAATTTATGAAGATTTTATAATTTTATTTTTTATCCGCAAAATTGACAATATAAGAGCACACATCTCATTTTTGGCCCATGACCCCTCTGACTTACCTACATGTTCTGTTTTCCTTAATGAGTTTGAGCCTGTGTCAGTGTTTTATCTAACTGATTTGATTATGCATATGAAGCCTAACACTTGCTCCCTGAAAGCACTTTCCACACGGTTCCTCAAAATGTGCTGCCATCTGTTGGTCTATATAGAGTATTTTGTCTATAATAGCAGTCTCATCAATAGCGTAGTTCCTTCTTTTTTAAAAAATGCTCACTAAGACTTTTTAAAAAGCCTGGCTTAGATCCAATGGTCCTCAACAATTTTAGACCAATATCTATATTACCGTTCTTGTCAAAAGTTTTGGAGAAAGTTGTCTTTCTTCAACTTTCTTCATTTTTAAGCATACATAATATCAAGGACACATTTTAATGACCATAGTACTCTGTCTGCTCTTCTTAAGGTATCTAACAACTTACTTTTAGCTGTTGTGCTATTTTAATTTTGTTAGACCTCAGCGCAGCCTTTGACACTGTCTTTGACACACCACTTTGTTGGATTGCCTGAAGTGTGGTGTTGACATCCAGGGTATTGCGCTGAAGTGCTTTGCCTCTTATCTGGAAAATCGACCCTTTTCTGTCAAGATGGGTCACTTTTCCTCCTCCTCAGTGCCTGTTACTAGTGGGGTACCTCAGGGCTCTATTTTGGGTCCTATTTTGTTTTCTTTATGCATGCTTCCTCTTGGTTTCATTTTTCAGAAGTACAAAATGACCCTATCACTGTTATGCATATGACACACAGCTCTACCTCTCGCTAAAACCAGGTAAAAATGGCTCTCTGCACCCCATGTTTGATTGTCTGAGAGATAGAAACTGCTGGATGTCTAAGAACTTATTTAATCTAAACCAGGACAAAATGGAAATTATTATTCTCGGAAATCCAAATCCAGCCAGAGCTATAGCTAATGATCTGGGGTTATTATCATCTTGCGTACATAGCCATGTAAAAATCTTGTTGTTTTTTATTCTGCTCTTGAGAAGCAAATAAATGTTGTTGTGAGGGGTAGCTCATTTCAACTTATGAGTATAGCAAAAATTAAAAGCCCGGAAACAGTTGTTCATACTTTTATTTCCTCTCGTATCGAGTATTGTGACTCGTTGTACTTGGGAATCTGTCCATCAAGTTTGTCACTTCTACAGCTGGCCCAAAATACGGCCGCTAGGCTCCTAACTGGTACTAAGAACATGACCTCCTCTGCTTCTATTCCACCTCACAAGCCCTACAATCTTCTAACTAGTTGCTCTTAGCCATTCCACACTCTCGGATGAGATTCAAAGGCGACTGGGCCTTTTCTGTAGCTGCCCCAAGACTCTGGAATTCTTTTCATAAAGGAATCCCCCACAATAGACGTTTTAAGTTAAATGTAAAAATCCATGTATTTTCTCAGGCATTCGTGTTTTTTCAGTGACTTTGCATTCAGTATCTGTTCTGTCTTGGTTTGTTCTGTCTTGCCAGTGTAGCTCTTTTAATTTGTCTTATTGTTTTTATTTGAGAGGTTTTTGCATGTTATTTTCCTTGTTGAATGTATTGTGTAGTTTTGAACAGTTAATAGTGGTTATTTTAATTGATATTATTGTGCAGCACTTTGGCCAAAACTTGTGTTATAAATGTGCTATAGAAATGAAGATAAAAAATAAAATGACTTGACATTTCTCAGTCCAGCAGTGACACTGAAGTGTTTAAAAACTCCAGCAGCACTGCTGTGTCTGATCCACTCAGACCAGCGCAACACACACTAACACACCACCACCACATCAGTGTCACTGCAGTGCTGAGAATGATCCACCACCCAAAAAGTAACTGCTCTGTGAGGGTCCATGAGGGTCCTGACCATTAAACAACAGGGTAAAAGAGGGATAACAAAGTTTACAGAGAAACAGATGGACTACAGTCTGTAATTGTAGAACTACAAAAACTACATATATGGTTGGTGGAGCTGATAAAACGGACAATGTGTGTAGAAACAAGGAGGTGTTAATGTTATGCCTGTATTTCTGAACAGCTTATGTCAGTAATTGCTGTGTGACGATAAGCTTGACGTTGGTCGATGTATGATAACAATAATGAAAGTTAAATTGAATAATGTGAGATTAGCACGTACATTATGCTCATTTTCACAGAACAAGCTCCTCACCTATTAGTGCTAAAATTAACCCAAACTATTACTGGGTCTATTGGAATAAAAGGGGACTTAACCCTAGACATGTTTCTGTGGGGTCTTGAGTGTGGGATGTTCTGGCTGCGACGTCCTGACGTCTCACCACTAAACCAGACTAAACGCTGCCTGCTGTGTTACCGAAGGTGTCCGAGGCGCGCGCCTGACGGAGAGGGTTTCTATGTCTGACTGGACGCGAGACTTCGTGGTTGTAAAATGAGCTCTTCAGAGGAACGGTGTCAAGGGACAAAACGACCCGCATCTCCAAATGAAGTATGTCTGATCCAAATAATTAGCTAACGAAGCTCTTTCTAAAAATATCCAGCCATTCAGACTAACACAGATAGCTAGCTGCTAACTGTAAGCTAACCTATATAACCTAAGGTAGTCATTAGGCTCTCTGCAATGTAGCTAGCTGGCTAGCGTGCTAATTTCTTTAGCTATTTATCTTAGCTACTTACCCACACTTGTACTCTATCAGTGTGTGACACGGGCCACTTGCATATTACAAATGAACTGAATTACTTCAGAATATATACTGGACTTGCAGTTTACGTCGTTTTCGCAACAGATTGTTCCCCCCATGCAATCCCTTGGCAGGACAACCATTAGCTGCATTTTCTGGTAGGCTATGTAGTTAGCTAGCTAGCAAGGCAAGTTTTTTTAACAACCATTTTTATTTTAAGAACCAATTTTAGTAAGTAGACCAAATATACAGTCGTTTGGTTTGAAAAAAAAGTTCTGTTTACTTTGCTAACTAAGTTACGATTATGTGATCTTGCAGCATCGTCCAAACAGTGACATGCTAGCTAGGTAGCTACTTGCTGAAAGTAGTTAGCTAGTCATGCTCTTAAGGGACCTCTCAACAGTGTCAACAGCTACGAGTAAACTAAAACTGGTTCCATAATTCCTCATTCTGTTGCACAGGCAGGATCCACAAAATGGGCATCAGCAGACTTGGGAACAGATGAAAGGAGACAGAAGTTTCTGAGGCTGATGGGGGCAGGAAAGGTGAATATGAAATTGACCCAAAGTAGTTGACAAACACAAACAGTTTTGCAGACACTATTGAATCCAGTGATCATGATTGATCTTTGTACAAATTAAAACGTGTTACCTTTTTGGCATTTCTTATTAGAAAGAGCACACTGGACGCCTTGTTATTGGAGACCACAAATCAACATCCAATTTTCGTACGGGTGGGTAAACGTAAAATACAAATCTAGTGCATTTTCTTGACCCAGTTTTGCATGTGCAGTGTTTCTCCTTTGTGTGTCATTGAGGAATTCATTGTCTTGATGTGAAATGGTTAGTCATAGAGAAACTTGCAGACTCTGATTTCTCTACAGTGGTTCTACAGGGAACCACATTTTCTAAAACAGAAATATAGCTATTTTTCTGCAGTCCAAAACAACATACATGTGTCTTGAATTTTTAATGTTAATAATGAAAAAAAAGATATTTTCTGGGTACTATTTTTTTTTCTTCCAGGAATGGATTTAAAAATATATATATTAGGTCAAAGCTTTATCTCAAAACTAACGTAAGAACTTCATGGACACCAGGCGGTGTAAGCATTTCATGTAGTAACTTTCTGTGAAGTAGCTTTTTAGAGGCATTAAACGCTTGAGATTTCACTTTAAATCCGAATTACTTCTACGTTTTGATGATTGAGTGATGCAGATATTTGGAAACTTTGTTGGAATTCCCCTTTAAAGTGAGTTTAATTCACAGGATGCTAGCACAAAATATGAATTCCAAGATGCCTTGTTCATAGTGCTCCAAACAACACCAGAAGGATAGCGGTTCGTTCATTTTTGATCAGTATGAACGTTCACATGTTCTGAACTGTCACGTGATCACACTTATTCCTGAACATTTAACCTCATAGAAAATTTAGTTTCAGTACTAATTTAACACACTTTGCTGTAAAGTTCACAAATTTCAGACCTCTGTGTTTTGGTTAATAAGATGTGTTATGTTAGGATTGGAGCATTGCAAGATGAGATGTCTCAGGGGTAGAGTTGGGCACCCTTGTTCTACATGATTACCCATTTGGATATCTGTGTTGAAATTCTTAATTGTCAGTTATAACATGCTTTTTCTTCTGCATGGTTCTATGGTCTCTCCAGGTGCAGAAGATCAGAGGATGAACTCTGAGCTGGAGCACCAATATCAACAAGGACTAGATGGCAAACTTTCTGGCCGGAACAGGAGACACTGTGGCTTAGGTTTCAGTGAGGTGAGAGCACATTCATCCTGTCAAATCAGCAGCTTTTTATCAGCAGGGCCATTTCTTGCTGTAAGTGGTAGCAGCAGCTGCTTAGTGCCCCTGAGCCACCAGGGGGCCCAGGAAGTGGGCAGTTGCTTTTGCCCTTTGTGACAATTAATTGTGCTCCAGACATTTGTTCAACATTAAGTGATATTGGCCACCACTAGAATCATGATATTGTATCATTATCTTGAGAAATTACATCACAATATGCTTTTCTCAGCATATCGTTGATATTGTCAGCACTTAAACAACACCGACAAATTCCATGTTTCATTAGAGCATAATTAGTCCTGATTAACTGTATTGGGTGAAGCATGTTTATTGAAATATTGAATAAAAATAACTGTACTTAGTTTTTGATATTTTTAAAATGTGACTCTAGTGGGGATTTTTTTCAGTTTTAACTTATCCAACTTTTAAAAAAAAACTAAACATTGAGATACATGTGTTGTGAAAATGTCTTCAAGCATTGAGATACGTATGTTTTGTCATATTACCAACCGCTGACTGATATTAGCAGAAGTTTAGTCTAGTTGTAATGCTGGGGAAAATTCCATTCTGTCATATAAAATAGGAATGGGGTGTTTGGGGGCCCCAAATATTTAGAAGCGGTCCTGTTTCTAAAGACCCGTAGGTGGGCCACTAGATGTGTATGTGAAACTGTGGCCATTGTATTTTTGATTTTCGTTTTTACCAAAAAGTGCACCATTCATAGCTCTGTGTGCTGTGTCAGTTTTTAATAGTTTCCCTTTCTATGTCACAGCCTGATCCACAATCTGAGAGTCAGAGCACCGTTGAATCAGGAAAGCCGGACAGCCCCAACCTGACCTCTGAGAAGACACATGAACAGCAGGAGGATCAAGAAAAGACACATTCACCAAGCACAGACCATGAAAAACAGGAACAGTCAAAAAACACGAAAGACTCAAAGGAGGACAAAAAAAAGACTTTTAAAATGGCGTTTGTCAAGGCATCATAAAACGTCTCAGTAATGTCTTCAGATTCTTTTGTTCTTTTCTCCCTAAAAAAAGGTCCCTCCAGTGAATGGCAGAGAAAGGGCAGTTTTTAACCAAAACTGAAGCGTTTTTTGAAACATCAGTTTGTCTGTGCCAAGCAGTTTGGATCTTGAAGGGTTGCAAAGAGGATTTTCCTCCCTTTACTTTTTATATGTGCAGACATTCTGAAAAATAAAGCCTGTCATTATATAAAATTATCAGTATCAAGTGTAAGCAAATAATTGTCCTAACATCAATAAAGCTAAGAAGAATGGAATTTACATCAGTACACGTGGCTCATCATGTATCATGAGAATGTATAATATTAGTGGTATGTCAGTCGTGTATGTTGCAATATGATTGCAGAAGGATATTTGTTCATATTTGACAATCTGAAAAGACCATCAATAAGGACAGGATATCGGAAGACTACAGTTACTTAATACATAATTCAACATAATACAAGAGACATTTTTATTTTGAATATACTGAGAAAAAATATAATTTGAACACTTTTTACTGAAACAGTCACGAAACAGAAATCTGGCATAAATGTTATGAGACCACAATCTGGCAGCATGACTCATTTCTATGAAAGAATTCTGGATTTCTAAAATTAAAACTCCTGCAAAATGGAAGTAAAACCAAAAGTATTGCATTAATATTTTTGATCAGTATATTTATAAAAATAGCACCTCTTAAGATGTGTGCTATAAAAGTATCAAGTATGATTTGGGCAGTATAAAATACACAAACCCCATACCATGGAAAAAGTATTTTAATGGTACAAATGTAGTATTTGGTGATTAAAAAATGTGAAAATGTCAGAAGACACATCTGATGCAGATACAGATACAGGAGGTGACAAACTAACAGAAGCAAAAAAGTACTTCAACTTTGAAGTAACTAGATGACGATCACAAAGGCAACCACAGCAGTGAACCATATTAACTGGCAGCATTTGTCATTTATAAAATACTTCAGAAAACTAAGGGTCAATTCCACATATCGAAGTGCCCTGAAAGGACAGTTACTAAACACCAACCTTTAACCCATCACGCCTCTTCCGAACATGGTGGCTCCATAATGTGGTGTGTGTTATGTGGGAGTCAACTGGTATGTTTTTTTTAACAGGCAAGGTCATTCAACATTTAAGGTCATTTTAGATGACCAGGTGCACTCTATGGTGCAAACACTGTTCTTTCATATTGCTCCCATATTCCAGGATGACAATTCTGCCAGATACACAATAAACAAGTACAAGAGGGGTTTCATGAACACAGGAACGCCAGCCTCTGTAATCACCAGATCTAAACATCTCTGAACTTTTATGAGAAGATTCAATGTGAAGAGTACAAAAAAGACATTTCCACCTCCTTCATCCTTTAATTAATTTGAGGTGTTTCTTATTTAAACGAAAAGGTCCAATGTCTCTACACAAAAAAAAATAATAAAAACAAAAAAAGGCTTGTAATGACAGGCAAAGGGCTCTTTTGCTGGAGTAATATTTTGCTAGGTGCTTCCATTATTATGTCCCCCTGTAAGTAACTGCTTTATCAAAATACATGAAGTCTTTCCATCTACAACATGCAGCAAACTAGTAATTATCCTAACAGCAAGAATAAAAGCTTCTAAAAATTGCTAATAAAAAGTTATGCAGGCACAGCAATTTAAAGTGCATCATTAAATATTAAATTAGAATCAATTAAATACGAAACAAAATTAGTTTTGTCAATATTAGATACAATCTTTGGCAATTTAATATGTGTAAATATTTGTTGTGAATCAAAAATTGTTCAAACTTTAGGAATTACACACTGAAAAACAGTACACATTCTGCTGATTATGTACAATCTTCACATATCTTCATATACTGCTTTGGCTGAGAAGAGAAACAGAAATGACAATCAAACTCAACAGACAGACAAACACATTAATGCTGGGTTTGCTAGTCATACATTACATTCAAGAAAGACCTTTGCATGTTTAGTGTCTGACAGAAAGTCAGAGTCATGTAAAAGAATCTGATGGATTATAAACAATCAGCAGTGCATTTTACCTTCATGCCCAACTGTTGCATTTAATAGAAAGGAAAGTTACAATTTTGGGGCCATTAGGGGCCTAAAGTCACTGAAGTGACAAACATACCATTGCTTTGAAGGATCATTCTCAAGTAATGGATCTTGTAAGGCAGAGGCCTAGTTAAGAGCATATAGATGGCAAAAAAATTAAAGGAAATGAAAAGAAAAACCTGAATAAATACAGGACAAAACAAGAAAACATTACTGTCAGAGTTCTAGCCATATTTCAAATAATTTCGAATCAGGTAATAAATAAGTAAACAAAATCACTAGTTTTAATTCAGACTCTTATTCAGTCTGCTTATCAGGGCGTAATGATTGGATGATGGGATACTGGCCCACTAAATAACCATCCTGACACCAGGTCTGCCTCTGGTGGCTGAGGACATGAACAACTGTTCATGTCTGCAGCCACACAGGTCTCCTAAATAGAAACTGGTAATCAAAATGTTAATATCTGACAGTATATTTACTTTTTCTATTTAAGCACATATAAAACCACACAATGTTATACTTTTGCACTCGAGTAGAAATGTACTTACTCAAGTCATATTTTACTAGTGGTGTTTCCACTACCACTAAAGTACAGAATGTTTGTTATGGAACATGTTTATTTGCACATACAGGAAAATATGTATTAAAATTATCTGTTAAGTTCACTTAATTATCATGCAAGTTAAATCTTCCACAGAACTGATGTATGCAGCTTTTAACTAGGCCTTATCCTCTGCTTTATAAGCTCTATTACTTAGGAGTGATGCTTCACAACAGCGTTACAAATCGAACAAATGCCCATCATTTTAGTTTAAGGCCCCTTTTATCAGTACTATGTCACTGACGTCAATCTTATCGTCATCTAGCAATTACTGGCATAAGCTGTTCAGAAATATTAAACTGTTGCTTTATGATACTCAATGATTATGTTTATTACGCTGATTATTTGTCATGAAGTTCCTGTGTTTGTAGCCCTCAAATAAAATGTAACTTATACTTCTCCAGGTTAACTAAGCTCAGAGATTTCATACTGGTTCACCTTCTGTGAAGAGAGTGGGAGGCAAAGTCATGATCTGCTCCTGCTGCTGAAGGACATGGTCTAGGTCTGAGAAGTCCAGCTGCTCTGAGCCTATGGGAAGCAGTGCAGGTGGGATACTGAAAAGAAAGAATTTTTTTTTTCATTTTAAAGAAAAGAAAATAAGAGAGCTATTTTAAACCATAAGATCCTATACAATAACTGGAGCTTAAAGACATTCTCTCTTACTTAGCAATATCAAGAATTTTGAAATCCATGGCAGTATTTTATGCATTTTAGTAAGTATATCATATATGAATCATATAATATAAAAAGTCATATGAGAAAGGGTAACATACTGCCATCACTTATAAAGCACATAAACACTGCAGAGCAGGGAGAGCAGTGGTCCCCATCTTCAGCCCTCAAAGGACAAAGTCTAGCATGCTTTGGTAACTTCTCTGATCTAAAACTCCCATTAAACCTAGTAATTAACTGAAAGATTTCCTTCCTAAGGAGGGAAATCTGCTAGATTCCAGGTTCCCACAACCCCATCTCCACCTCAGCTCAGTCATTCAACATAAAATCCAAATGTGTCTAATGAATGAAAACTAACATAGCCAGTCAGTGCAATGCTTTCATTCATATATTCATTAGTACCTTGATTTAGCAAGTAGGTTCTTTATCTTTTGCACATTGCGAATGCGTTCCTCTTTCTCCTCCTGGCTTAAGGGTTCTTCAGGCTCTGTCTCCTGGAAGCGCTTTGGTATGGATATCTTTGGGGGAATGGAAAGCTGGAGGAAGGAAATCTAGGTAAATGAATGAAGGTGCTTCATATAGCGCTCACAAAGGATCAGGTGAAGTCATTCCGTTGTATGGACAGCCTTAAGCATAAAAGGGGAACTCCACAATTTTTTTTCCAAAATCTCTACATAACTCAATTCATATGTAACAAAGTCATTCTGAGTGGTTCCATGTGAAATGCTTAATTATAGAGAGACTTACTGTGTCAGAATTATTCACAATGGATTAGATGAAAACCAAACGCCTGAAAAGTTTAATGCCTCTAAAAGCACTCAAGAAATACGACACTGGTATTCGACAGAACAATGATGAAGCTTGAAAAAAACTTCATCATCTCTTTGGTTCTGTGGATGTGAAATCTGGGCAATAAACAATTGAGACAGTAAAAATATTGATGCCTTTGAATTTTGGTGATGGCAAAGACTTCTGAGAGTACTTTGTAGAGCACAGAAAACAATTAAATAGATTCTTGACCAAATTAAGCCTCACTTCTCACTTTAAGCCCAGATAACCAAACTGAAGCTTGTTTATATTATTAATAATAATAAAGGCTCAATAAACTCACTGAAAGCTATTACATGATCTTACAATGATTACAAACACTCTGCCTGATGTCTAAAAACATATTTTTAATAGCTTTTAGATTAACTTTTGGCCTGAAACGTATTTTTAAAGAACAATCATGACAGGTACATGCAAGGTAAAATAGGTCATAAGACACATGTAGGTTTACAGGCCATTTTGAATAGGAAAGTTTCTCTAAAATGGACTGTCACATCGAAACACTCTGACTTTTTACTTCTCATCAATTGAATTTTGTAGAATTTATTTAAAAATCGATGGAATTCCCATTTAACACTGTAAGCAGAAGATCAGATTGTAATTTTGTGCTATTGAGGGAGACACAGTTATTATTTATTTCATATTTTTATGACAACACTATTGATCATATTTATTTATGGTATAAACATAACAAGTAAGCAGAAACATACTTCTCTGCTGAGGTCCAGGTCAAAGTCAACAGGCTCCAGGTCATCTATTCTCATAGGTCTGGCTAGAACTGTGAGCCATTCATCTGTTTTCTGGGCTCTGGTTAGTGGGCTGTGATCCTCCTGGCCTTGCCTCTCTGCTGTTTGCACTGTCCTCTCCGAAAGCTGCAAATCAAAGCCCTGCTCCCGCCTCAACTATGGGCGTGGACAAACAACATACAGCAGAGAGCAGTCAGTCTATATGTTAGATGTGTACATTGTACAGGGAAGACTTTTTAAAACAAATTTCAGTTATCTATAGCACACCAGGGACCAAAGGACCAAAAGGTGAACAACCGAAACCAGAAATGACTGCCCAGTAAACTGACCCCTAAAAAAAAGTTAGGGTGCTCCTGGTCAAATTACGTTTTGTTGATGTTCTAATAGAAAAATGGTACACATCATCTACAGAAAACACTCTTCTGCACATTTTAATGCAAAATTAATTCGCTAAACTTAACATACATTAAAAAAATCATAATAAAATCTGGCCTGTGCAAAAGTTAGGGCACAGTTTATAATTTATGTGTCAACACATCGTTTACAGGGAAAAAACTTCAATACTTGTATGCAAATTTTAGTGCACACATTCTATTTATTTGAGTTTAACATACTGGGAACAAAATTAAATATCAAGTGTGACGTGTTTGCATGGTGTGTTTACACAGGCATTTTATTATATATTTTTTCCAATATGTTAAATTCAGCAAATAAATTTAGCATTAAAATGTGCAGAAGTGTGTTCTCTGTAGAGGATGTGTACTTTGTACTTACCTTCACTTAGAAAATCAACAAAACATGTCATTGGACCAGTGATGTTTAAACCTTTGCAAACGACGGTACAAAAATTATGTCGCATTTAAAGCTAAAAGTGACAAGGACATGTTGCAGTATGATGACAGCTGGCCTTCAGACATCAGTGGTCAGGAATGGGACAAGTCAATATACTGAATTTTCTTAGACTAACAACCAATATGTAACAATTGCCTCAATCAGTATTTCTTTACGGAACTGCTAAAAGACCGTCAGAACAGCCAAATGAATTACAGAGTGAGTTCCAGTCATTACCACACATCACCGAGAGTATGGGTTACAAACAATATAGATTACAGAATTTAAACGGTAGAAAACCCATCACCATTTCATATCATGCTTGATTAAGAGGCGCAAGGATGTGTTTGGAATGATGTGTTTCCAGTCAGTGATTCCCAATACATTCAGTAATTGCACACTTCAAACATGCATAAAACCCTCAACAGTTTGGGCAAGGCTTGTAGTATATGATATAGCAAACAAGTTAGTTTCATGTCTTCATGGCAAACATCATGCAAAAAAATTTCTGAAATCTGTGACCATATTAGCTTATTCATAAACCCAACTTTCTTCAAACAAAAAAACAGGAATCACACCATTATTTTGTGTAGTTCATGTAGACACTTCCTACTTCTGCAGCAATAACAAACAAATTCCAATGTTAGTTTAAAATCCACAATTTTATTCATTATTAGTGCAAAGTTCTACATTAGAAAATAAAGTGCCTACGCAGTGTATGATTTGAGGTGTTATTCTAATTGCTGTAGTGATAAGCCTTGTGCTAACTGACTGCAATAATGTTAAATCTTAGTCCTTTTGACGTGGTTTTGCAGATGAAGCCTGATCTAAACTGCAGTCAGTGGAGATTCTGGTTTTACTCCAAAACTAGGCTGTAAAACTCCCTTTGTGAAGGACCATTTTTCATAAGATCATATCCAATCAGAGCAGTCGTAGTAAATACGCTGCCTAATGATTTGTCACTTTTCAGCAGTAAAGACAGTTGGAGTGAGGGTGGAGTAGGATAACATGTTCAGGTTCTTCTGTCACATCAGAGCTGAACATTTCCTTGGGTAATGCACTTTGGTAGGTAATGCAAAATTGCTGTTCTTACTATTAGATGTTAGGTGTCGATTGGAATATGTGTTCTATGATTCTAGATGATATTCAGCACTGAAGATGGTGGTCAACATAGTACCCGTTAGAGAGAAGAGCAAATCACAAGCACAATCATTATCTATCTAATCATCAATAACAACAGACACCAGTTTCATCCATTAAGGGCTATACTGAGTCCAAATTTAGAGAAGGAACTGCTAAAGTTATTGTTGCTTGACTCAGCTCATCAAGCAGCACCTGACATCAACCAAGACTTTTGTGTGACTAACCCATGGATGAAGGGTTTTAGAGGTGTTTATGTGCCAGGTCTTCACCATCTACGTACTAGCACAAGCACTGGCTATATTCTAACACAAAAACAATCTGTCAACAAGGTGAGTTGTATTACTTAGTACTCAGGATGTCTGTAGTCCTCTCAAAGACAGAATCGAAGCTTGAATCAAAGATTCACGCAATGGTGTAAACAGGAACCTGATGGGGTGGCAATTAAGAAATTCAGGCTATAGCAGCAAGAGGGTAAGCTGTGATCTAGTGAGAAACAGATTGCAGCCATGATTCATAATAGCCATTTAGCTCAGCCAAAAGACATCTTTGCAAGGTATATGCAAGAGCTTGTGACTGGTAGAAATGATAACAGTTACAGAAACTGTGCAAAAAGACAATTATAGCATGTACTTAATGCTTTGGAACATATGGCCCCTGATTTCAAATGCAGCATGATTACAGGACAGAGGGATGATGAGGCATATCAGGGTATGAAGAGGCACTTCACCGATTTTGGTCAGCTATGAGGGAATATGTATGAGAATGTTTTACACACAAAATATGTACATCCTTTTCCCAGTCGATCACCAAAAATTACTGAATAACAAGATTTACTCTAATTTATGAGGCAGCAAGACAGAATTTCTCCCACCATATTAAATTCATACAAAATATAGGTTTACAAATGTTCTCTGAAAATATATTAATAATGATTGTATAAATAATTGTGTGAATTAACATGAGAGAAAATGTACAATTAAAAAAAAAACATAAAATCTATTGTGGGAAAGAGAATAAGCAGAGCAGATTATGTCTTATTCACGAATGTGTACATTCACAAGTCAGAGGTCCAGAGGTTACATACAGGACTGTCACCTTATTGCTTATCTCTGTGTCCCTGCCCACAGCCGCACAGCAGACAAGCACACCTTCCAGCCAATTCTTGCACCCGCAGCATGGCCCAGTTCTGCCCATAACATAACATGTAGCAGTATCACCAGCATAGGTTAAGCTTGGGAGGAGGCGTTTTGTTAGCATGTTAGCTGTCTGAATCTCAGGCCCTATGTGGGAGGGGCATAGCGAGCGTCCCTGTATCTGTGGGGGAGGGGATAACGTACTGGTCCCAGGTCGGAGCAGACGGTCCGAGAGGAGGCCCGCGAGCTGGATGACTGCCGCTCAGCCTGATTCAGGTTGCGCTTGCGCTCACGCACCAGTGCCCTCTGGTGTCTTTTCATCCTCTCCAGCTGTTCCTCCACACTCATCCTCCCTCGCTGGGGTAGCTGACGGGGCTCCTCGGAGTACAGCTGCTCCAAGGCACTCTTTGGTCTTTCCTGTGGGCCAAAGGAAACAGAGCTTGTGCAGAACCTTGGATGTACATAAGACAAATATCTGTGAAACTGGAAAACTGTTTCACCTGTGTATCAAGTCATTTAAAAAGTTTAGACTATAAGACAGGTCAAATTACATGTTTTTTCTGATTTTCTAAATGAAAATAATTGAACATTTAAATGTGGCACTTTCTGCAAATTTCAGTGCACAACTTCCATTTACTTTCTGAGTTTAACATATTGGGAAAAAAATAAATATAAATGCGCACATTTTTTTGTGCAGAAGTGTGTTCTCTGTAGAGGATGTTATTTTCACTTAGAAAATCAACAAAACATGCAATTTGACCAGGGGTGCCCAAACTTTTGCATATGACTATCTGTATGAAAGCTTGTGCTTACCATCATCGGTAGGTCTCTTTTCAAAGCGTTGTAGGAGGAAACAGTGGACTGGTTGAGTCGGAATAAGGAGCCTGACAGACCTGCAGGGCAGAGAGGAAAACTTCATAGTCTGCATTAACAAGACATAAAAGTTTCTACCAAAGGGTTTTAAAGAAACGCAAGCAAGCACTCGTAGCTGAGAATCAGAGCTACAACAGATGTCCAGATGGTCCATATAGTAGTTTCCACATATGGAAACTAGGCTGCAAAAACAGCCCACTTTGAGTTTGTAGTATTAGTGCTGTGACAAAAGCGCATTCACATTCATCTGCATATTCAGCCTACAACAGTGTAGCATTGCCCATTCATGCTGTAGTTATAAAGAGTGTTTAAGCCCAGTGTTCTTTAAATGAGGCACAATATAAGACAGCCAATCAGAGTGGAGGTCATTTACATATATCAGTACAGCAAACCATGCAAAAAAAGTGGATATCAGGGAGAACGGAATGCAAGAAAAATGTAGGATATTGGCTGATAGCAGAAATCCAAATATGGCCTCATTCATGCCTAAATATCTATTAATTAGTGCATATGAAAGTTATGAACTAGAAGTGCACCTCTGTTTGGGAGTGTCCGGTAGCTTCCTTCTGTCTGGTCTGACGTGTCTTTACTTCCAGGTAGCTCTGGTTCACTTAAGTAAGAACGTAACTCTACCTGCACACACACACACAAACAAACACACACACACACACGAACGCATGCACGCACAAACACAAACACACAAATACAAATCCACTGCTGTACAAATGCTGTTGCAGGTCTTTTTCTGCTCAAACAACTGAATCATATCATTAGCTAATTACAAAACATGCCGAGAGATGAATCAGGTGTCAGACCAGGGAAAACATGTAACATGATGCCAGCAGAGAAGCAAGATTAAGCCTAATCCATGCTCATTTTAAGACTAAGGCCAGCATATTTTCCTTTCTCAATACTCATTATCTTGTTTTGTGAGACGTTAACTAAGAAAAATGTTTGCAATAAGAGAAGCGCGTTTTCATACTCTGCAACAATCTAATATCCACAGACAAACTGCACTTTTTTTGCATCTGTGATGTAAAGTCAACTAACCCTGCAGTCTCCGTTAACATAGCTACTCTCTCTGTCGCGTTTCCTCTCATCTGACTGCCTCTTGAGACCACGCACTGACGTGTGCCTGATGATAGAAGTCTCTTTCGGGAGGGGAGGAACTGCAGGAGGTATGTCCTCACTGTAGTGGAGGGGCAGAGGTGGTCTTGGTGGGGCAGCGTCTTCCACCTGTTAACAGATAACATATGACCAGATTCAACAGTTTAAAACAAATATCTTGACTGACAGATGTAAATAAATGGTACAATTTCTTAAACGAGCTTTCAGGAGAATGCATACTTATAAGCTCTCCTCCACTAGATGACCTAAAGAAATGACTGTGTAGGTGCAACTCTAATTTTTTTATAGCCAAAGTGGCTGATGACCAATTTTATTGGTTATTTTTATAACCATCTGTTTTTTAAGCCTTAAGCCCACACTGTGTGGTCTAGATCAACACATGAAACACGCACTATTTTCAGTGCTATTTTATTATTTTGGTAGAGGTGGCACAGTGGATAGTGTGGTCCCCTCACAGCAAGAAAGGCCTGGGTTCGATTCTCTGGCTGGGCAACCAGGGTCCTTTCTGTGGGGTAAGAGTGTGTGTGAATTTCTATGTATGTGTCTGCCCTGTGATGGACTGGTGGCCTGTCCAGGGTGTTTCCTGCCTTCTGCCCAATGACCGCTGGTATAGCTTTCAGCAGCCCCCGCAATACAAGAGGATAAGGGGCTAAGATTGTGTGTGTGTGGCTATTTAGTCTAATGACTAAGTGCACTTACCTGACTCATCAAATTTAACACAGATCTGCCAGGATAAAAACAATAAACTGGACCATTGCTGACTGTGTGTCTGATTCCGATCATACAACCCTAGTATTAACTGAACATCTCTGTTTGGTGGCACCAAGCACATACCCACTTTGGCACAGACTGTGACAGCTGGGTACATGAGTTCTCAGCGGACAGTGGCACAGGACTGGAAGTGAGACTATGCTGGGGGGTGCGTATCTCTGCTGGGGTCACAGACCTTGAAGGCAACTCTGTCACTGAAGGCACAAGTTTCCTCTCTGCAAACATACAAATATTGGGACGTCATATTTAGAGGTTGACTAGTTCCACTGAATCAATACATTAACAAAACTGGAATAAAATAGCCTCCACCTGGATTCTGCATCGAGTCAATGGTGATTTTAAAGGTGTCTTTGGTGGAACTGAGGCCGGCCATTACATCCTCAATCCTCCAAAGTTCTCTTTTCAACTGGGTTTTCTCCTGAACACATACATTGCATCACACACACTATCCAGTATTACTTATCCAGTAATTGATTCGGTCAGTTAGAATAAGTGGTCCAAGTTGAAATCCCTGTTCACATTCCCTCATATAAGTGAAAGACAGAGAGAGAAAGACAGACAATGAGTCACCTGAGGTACTGTGCAGAGGTTCATCTGGGCTTGCAGTGCCTCTCTCAGCAGCTGCACTGACTGTTCTAGCCGACCATATTCCTCCCATGCTCTCTCCATCTCCTGCATAACACACCAACAAACAGGTAAATCCTCTGCAGGACATACACAGTACTGGCACATAAGAAAACATTACATAATCAAACAGCAGTGCACAGGTCCTAGGTCTCCTGTTTACAGTATTACTGTAACCTGTACACCCAATATAACTGGACATTAACAGACATGAGTCTCAAGGCTGTGCTAGTGTTATTTGTGTTCAAACTCACCGTGGCCACTCTGGAGATGTCAGCGCGGATGTGGACCAGGTCCTCCTGAAGCAGCCGCTGCTGGTAGGCGATTTTCTCTGCGTGTGCTGGCTGGTCTTGGTACTGCTCCATCTGCTGGTGTGACACATCCAGAACTGACTCTAGCTTGTCCTGGGGAAGGAAGCAAGAAAGAAAGAAAAACTGAGACAAATTTAAGTATACTGTATGGGCCCATCTAGATTTAACTATGATGAAAGGTATCGATCTAAGTTATTTATTATATTGTTTTAAAGTGTCAGCAACATTTACAGTCATATGCAAAAGTTTGAGTATGCTGATCAAATGAAATGTTTTGTTAATTTTCTAAGTGAAAGTAAGTTAACACTCTCAAGTCAGGGAACAACATAAATATGGAATTTTTCTTAGTACATAATTTAGTACAAATCTTAGCACATAATGTGTTTTTACTTGGTGAGTTTAACGTATTCTAGGGAAAAAGCATGAAATATAAAATGTGCCATAGCTTTTGCATTTTTTTTTGGTCCAACATGTTACATTCAGCAAATAAAAAAGCAATTATGCATTAAGTGTGTTCTCTGAAGAGGATGAGTACTTATTTCCACTAAGAAAATCAACAAAACATTTTATTTGACCAAGGGTGCCCATTTGGCATTTTTTAATTAAGGGCTTGAAATGAATAGGACAACTTCACATCAAGAACATCACATTAACTGTGGAAGCCTGTGGTACAATTACGGGATGCGGTAGGACTTTTAACCAGTGATATAGTACCTTATCCTCCTTTAGCGTGCTCAGTTTGATCTCAAGCTCCTGCAGGATTTTGTCCTGTTCACATAGACGACTCAGTTTCACCTGCAGATGGCGACAGATAACCTTAGAGACTAACATTTGAAAAGAACTTATTTCCCCAGGCAGGACAGGACTGGGTAAATAACAGCTTCAAAGAATGAATGAATGAATGAATGAATGAATAAAATGCTCCCTTATGCTATATATATATATATATATATATATATATATATTCTCCACTATTTAATAATTTCCCTGGTTTGAATGCTGTGGGAGGTAACGGATTTCTACACACACTGCTTTTCACTTTCCTTCTGCTCATAACTGAAGCTACTGAAACCAGAAGTCTAGCTATCTAGACTTATAATACCTATGTGTTTTATGTTAGCTAGACAGCTAGACTTCTGGTTTCAGTAGCTTCAGTTATGAGCAGAAGGAAAGCAGAACATTCAGGAGCTTGGTGGGATTCTGTAGCACTTTTAATCATAGCTTGTTCATAACTAATTTATATTCTTTCATAAAATAGGATATAATGTTTAAAGTATAGTGAGGTGAATAAACACAACAATCTAATTTCATCACTGTAGTTCAGATACTGTTAGTTTACAACAGAATGTGGTACATGCTGCAGTAATTCTCATCAAAAGGCTAATAAAGTAGCAAACTGAAATGTTGACATAAAAGTGGAAAACAAATCTACTGCAGAATACACTTCTTATAACCATTTCCACTGAAAGCAACATCTTTTCCTTGAATGAATTATTCATGCCCTTAATCTCTTTGTGTTATTGTTGTTTAATTCCATAAAATATTCATAGCTGACAGAAATATGCTGGCTTTATAAATAGTTAAATATTGTAAATAAAATATTCTTTGTGGCACACAAAATGAAAAATAAGGGCCCAAGGCTCTACCATTAAAAATCTCTTTTTTCTACACATTCAAACAGCATATACAGAAGAAATCTCAAGAGCCCCAAACATCTACAATTACCAAAAAGTTTAATTGCATTTTATTTGGTAAGTTTTTTCAAAAAGACTTTATCCACCAAAAAATTCTGGAGAAGTATATGAAATGTAGTATATAAAGGAGCAATGATTGAAAGTTGTATGGGGTTTGATCATTTCATACTCACATCAACATCACTCTCTGCCACTTTGACTGGTTTGGGCGGCCGTCCTTTCAGTGTTTCATTCCCAGCCATCTACAGAACAGTTCAAGGAAAACTCATTTTCTTTTGGGTCTCCAAAATAGAATTACAGAGAACAGAATACAGAAAAAAGCTCATAAATGAACTCTTTATAAATGAACATGAGTATGAGCTGCACTTGCCCTTGGACCCTAGATGAAGATCATGCTAACAAAATAACGTGACAAAAAAAGCACTGTATAAAGTAAACTCTGCATAGACAAATACTGCATCCTTGGGTTTACTTTTTCAAATGAGAGAGCCAGAGAGAGGGAGAGAGAGGGGAGAGAGAGAGAGAGAGAGAGAGAGAGTGAGAGAGAGAGAGGTAAAGTAGGGAGAGCTAGAAAGAAAAAGCAGAGACTGGCTAACTATACATTACGCTTTGAACATGCACTTGGCCACCTTTCCCCCCCATCAAACCGCCAATCATCCAACCAGTCGCCACATGATAGCAATTGCACAACACATTGGGGGGAAAGGCATGTGGGGGTGTATGGCTTGAGCTAACATAAAGCTGTAGGCACACCTCACATTGTTAAGCAATGAGGGGATGGTGACACTCTGGAGGCAGTCAGTGCTTACGTTCCAGAGAGGTGCCAAACCCCCCGCAGTGCAGGTTTGTAACATACTGTGCACCATGAGGATCAACGGCTCTATGCTTTTCATCTGCATTAAACGAAGAAAAACATCTGGTCAAATGCAGTTCTGTTTTGACTGCTGCAAGCACTGCTCTAGTGTTAGCAAGTTGACCACTACTCTTTAAATTGGATTGAAGCGAATTAATACCAAAGAATAAGATTTTAATTAATCAGTTTTGTGACTTGGCCCTATAGACGTTTCAGTGTTATTGTGTTGAGAACAGGAGAGGATAGTCAAGGACAAGACCCAATAATGGAGAGAAGTCTGACTTCGCCAAGCCCCACCTTCAGATCCAGGTACTCCAAGTCCTTCTTCAGCTGCACATAAGTATCATCAGCCTTCAGAAGGAAAAACAAGACACAATATGTAACTTTTCATGCCTGAAAACTCTAAAAACTATTGATCGCTCCATACATTCAGTCTGAAACTGCTCTCACTGAAGCACTGAAACATGTCAATAATGAGGGGTGTTGTATGAAATACATGATCAGCTGTTACATGTCTCCACCCCAGAGGTGTCAAACACTGCACTGCAGAGTTCACATATATCATAATGTTATTATTTTTATTATTATTTTTTAAAGCCAGTTTGACATTTCAAACCATCTGTACCAGTGTAGGCTAATGTCTATTGTAGCCCTCTTGTTCAAACATAGCTTTTAAATAGTCTGCAAAGCAATACTTTAAAAGCTTAAGAATGATTATTAAATATATATATTTTTAAATATACAGTTATAATGGTTGGAACATCCAGCTTCTGTTGCTCTCACTGGATGTCATATGAAAGCTGGAAACTGTGTTCACCCTATTTTCATGTTCAGGTTCATGTGAGCCCTGAGTTCACACCATGACAACAATGTTACTCAATAAAAGTAATAAATACAGTTTGATTAATCTTTTTTGTCAGCTCATACAGCTGTAACAAAATGCACTAAAAACAATATTAATAAAAATCTAATTATGATTAACCACAAAAAATGGGATTAATTATTGTAACCAATCGACAGCCCTACCTACAACATTCAATTCAAATCCTGAACAGTTTGGTCATTAGTTGATGAATTCAATAATAAATACACTAAACTCTGCAGTACTGTGATCTATACGACTATATAATAGACACTGTAATGATACACATATTGTGTGCAGAATATTCTGGATGTGTTAAGACAACTGTATGAGGATGAAGATGCAAAGTACTTTATTAGAGCTGTGAACAGTAAATTTATCAATGATTATCGGCAACAGCTATAAAATTGATAAGTGGAATTTACTGTTATCCTTTCTTGCATAAGTGTTCTGCACTCTGGTTCATGGTCTGAAATTACAGTTACAATTTTACCTTTATTTTACCTTATTTTCACACACTGCTGTGAGCTGTGGTGTGACTGACTGTCACACTGGCCTGCCATGAGAACAGTATTTTTATTCTTCATTTTTGTTTCATATTTAGTAATTGGGACATCTTTTCATATGAAGTTTTTACGCATGGAAAAAAGAGAGCATCTCACTTCAAAACTTCAATGCCGATGCACTTTAATCCTAAACACTTAGGATGAAGACAAAGGGGAAGAAAGAATGCATCCACCGAGTAGTAATGCTGGCTACTATTTTTTCTTTCTTTTCAAACAGTTTGGTGAGTTCCAAAGGAGCTGAAGCTCTACAGCAGGCAATGAGGGGTGGTGTTCAAGGCTCTGCTTTAGCTTGGAGTGCCAACCATGAAAAGGACTGTCCTAGACATACTGAATATTCAATGGTAAAATAGTTGTGGTTTTACGGTTCTAAATAATTTAATAAATAATTTGTTAATTATAATCTATTTATTGATCATTTTTATCAAAACTGCTTTTCATCCAAGCCCTAGGTTTACGAGTCATCCTGTAAGGCAATTAGTGAACCATAGCTGTTCCCATAGTCTAAAAAAGAAGTGATTAGTTTAACATTTAAGCGATTTGCTCATTCCACAACTGTATCAGTCATTTTACATTTCAGATGGTTGGTTTGAACATACACATTTTTCAAGCAGACACAAACAAACAAAAAAACTGACAGCTTTTACTATGAAGCTCTGGAATGAAAACAGGCCTTCAGCAAATGCACTAAGCCAAAATCCATGCTGACATGGTTGCGGAACTAGAGGTGGCTAGTTGCATAACATGCCATGCCAACATAACACTACAGAACACAGCTATAACAGCCAAATGGACAGCTAGGCACTCTGGGGGCAAAGGAGGTTGGTGTATTGGTGTTGCCTGCAGTACAGACGGGCTGGAGGCTGCTAGAGGAGTGAGATTAGCTGGACCAAGGCCTGACCTTCGGTCGGGAGAGCTGCCGCAGATGGGCCAGAGTTTGGCTGCGCACCCCTGCCATCATAGCCTGGTGTCTCCGGAGCTGGATAAGCAGGAGGGTAAGTTCCTCCGGCTAACCAGAGATTGGAGGCACCACAGTGGGCAGAGAAACAGGTGTGATGATTACTGTATGCCAGCCCATGGCTCTGACAGACAGGGTCAATCAAAGACTTTCCAGTAAGAGACTCACTCAGTGTCTTAACTGATGGGTTAACCAACTATTCTATCTGTCCTGTCATCCATTTCATTACATAAAAACAAGACAGTGCACTTCCTAGGAAATATAGCAGTGGGACAAGGGCCTTACTGTTTTTCCATGAAGACTAGGAGCACTGACAGTGTGAGTGATGTAGCCTGATGGAGGCATGGAGCGTCTTTCGATTGTGGCAGACTGGAAAAACAAACAGAAACAGGTAATAAATGCAGTTGTACAAAACACAGTGGAGGTAGCTATACAATCAAATATCTTTAGCTCAGCTATTCACAGAAAACAGAAACGAGCTTTAAATCATTATGTTACCTTTGTTTTGAACGTAACACCTTACAGAATCAAGTAAGAGAATGCCAACTTTTTGAGGGCACAAAACAAAACAAACCAAGTTAGCTGCCCAATTATTATGCCACAGTAATTCTCTCTGTTTGGTTAAAAGGGCTCAGAAAATAAAGAGAGCTCCATGTGGTTGCCCTTGAAATGAATAAAAACTCATCTCAATCTGGCATGTTAGCATCTGATCTAGGCTGACAGCATAAACACAGTTTTAGAGTGATGACTCCTGGTTTAGAATGGAAACTAAATATTTACACAGTAAAGATATCACATTATCTTTACTGTGTAATTCAAATTAGTCAGTTACATACCTTTTGAGAGTATATTCGGCGGGGAGAACTGGACGGTGGCACCTCCACCATGGGCCTGTCCTCCAGGGGCTTGACCGTCACCCGCTCGGCAGGGGTGTGGGGTCTCCGAGGGGACAGCACTCTGGGCCCCGGGGGGCCTGGAGGAGGGATGTCGGCAGGAGTAGGGGGCACAGAGACAGAGCGTGCAACGTCCGGGTTCACTCTGGTGGAAGAGACAGCGGTGGAGTAGTCTGGAGCTGGAACATAAATGGGGGCAGTGGGGCTGGCGTGGCGATACTGCTGCCTCTGCTGCCACTCATACAGCTGCCAAACGGTGCCATCCCGCGTGGTAGGCTGAAAAGGCTGGCCTTGGGCTGCCCGGAAGTGACTAATGCGGTCCTGGGCATATTTGTAGTCGCTGGTAAGCTGCCGGTGTGAGTTTGGTGGGCTGTGATATGGAGTCTTGGACATGGACTGCTGGGCTTCGGCTGCTCCAAAACTGGACTGCACTGGAGGGTTTTGGCGTGAGAGCGTACCTTCACTGGAGATGGCTCTGGGTTTTGGAGCATGCCTTAATTATTTCCACATCAATAACTAGACTTTTACAGAGAAAAAACATGGATGCTGATCTCTGAGGTGTTAGTATTCGACCACCAGAGGGAGATGTAAGAAATATTTTCATGTAAGCCTCTTTTCACTGCATATTTTGTATTAATTGTGTCTAAAGGAAAAGGTGCAAGCATGCATGATAAAGAAGGCTACAATGATTAACTGGCAAAGCTGATTAGTCATTGATGACACTGATTACGGAAAGTGTCAATTCTGTCACAGTAACACTAATATGATTGTTCACTTAAAAAAGAAAGTGCTCTATAATCAATAATGGTTATTTGTTATGCATAATTTTTCCAAATAATTTGAATAGACTACAAAGAATTGTTAGCGTTAATATTTCTTCTGTTATTTTACTGAACCACAAAAGAACTCTGTAGCTAAGAATGTAAATAATTAACCTAACTAAACTAAAATGAAGCTTGCGGCTAAAAAATAGACAACCGTGTGCAAAATAGACATGGTTGTGCAAAATTCTAGAGAAAGGCATGGTAGACGCCGATGGCATTAGAGAGCTACTGAGGTACAATGAGTCAAAACTAGTCCAGTCATGGCATTATTCATGCCGCAATAATACGGTATTCAGTTGAACTGTGCGTATATCAAGTCTTTTATTAAAGTTTCCAAGGTGGCTCACCCGATCGCACTTCAAGGACAGCACCCATCAAAATATCAATAATAAAACAGGTAGTTTAGGTTCTAAAATCTGATTGGCTAAGCTTGCCAGTTAGTGATTAATTATTGAATAATGACAGTTAGTTACTGGTCAAAAACATTTGTCAACATACTTGTAGCGCAGACAGAACTTTGAATAATGGCAAAATGTTCAAAATCTTTCAGTACCTACAGATACCTTAATTTTAATACAGATTCCTGAATGGTACTTTTTTCTTTTTTCAATACCTTCTTAAAATATAGAGTTAAATTTACTGCTTTAAATAAAATATTATATTTAAAAATAAACTTTTTTAAAATTAAGAATTGCTAACATTAATAAACATGCTTAAGGAATGTCATTTAGACAGCCAATCAGCAGTCTAGATTTTGGAATAGGCATGCTCACTGGCTTACTGATGCTAATAAGGCTACCTAGCTACTTTATCCAGTACTCAGTTGGTATCATAAAAGTACTGAATTTGATATCCACCCCTAGTTATGACAATGGTTATCACATGATCAGCCCTAACCACTGATCTGATAACCTGATGTTTTTGTAAGAAAATAGGATTTGGTATCAGAGTTTAGACTCACCCTCTGTGCTCTCCTTTTTGCACTTTGACCCAATTCTCCACCTGCTCCAGAGTGCTCTTCCTCCCCTGAGTGTGTGTGGGTGTGTTGGAGTGCGGCGTGGTGCCCCTCTGATATTCCACCACTCCGTTTTGCTCCAGGGTCACCCCGCTCCGAAAAGAAGCTGGCAGGGTTGATGCAGCACGGGAAGGGGCGCAGGAGGGGGCCTGAGAAGTCACCACTACTTCTGGAGCTGACAGTTCGACCTCCAGCGTCCTAATGCCTGGTGACTTCCCCCTCACCTGCTCCATTTCGGGCAGGACAGCCCGGCTCTCCTCCTCCCCCACTAACACCTCCTGCTTCTGCAGCTCTGTCCTGTCACTTTGAGAAGCTTCTGCTTGGAGAAACACGTAGCTTTGGATGTGGTTGATCTGAGGTACTGCCTGCTTCTCGAGCTTCTCACTTGTGTCCAGGTTGTCTAGGTGATCTGACTCTTCAGAGACTCTGTGTGGGAAAAATGAGAGGGTGTTATTTTCTCATTCTGCTGATTAATTTGTCTGGAAAGTGCCATGAGAATTCTACAATTAACCGTGACCTAAGATCTGGTGCCCCTAATAACCATGGCGTCATTTGAATGACATCATGTGGGTACCAAAACACACAGTTCTGCCAGCTTGAAATTGGAAGTGAAATTGGATGAGTTTAGATTAGAGTAATGCAAGCTTTGGGGGTCTTCGAACTATAGAAAGCTTAATTAACCCCTCAACCTTCCAAAGGTGACTGTTCTCTTGCTCATTCTCTCTTATAAAAGTTACGTCCTTGGTCAGTTACAGGAACAAAAGAGGTATTTGAAGAAAATTAAGTGAATTTCAGTTCCAAACTCACTTACATCAAAAGATTTTCTCTGAAGACCTACAAGTATTTAATCAAATTTAAAAAGATTAACAACACAGTATACTGTTAAGTGAGTTGGTCAAATTCAGGCATTGGTCATTTGTAAGGCTGGGTAGTAATACAATATTTATAACAATCAGGATACAAAAAAGATCACTGTAATCTGTTATCGTTACAGAAAAAATGCAGTAATCAGATTTCAGATACATTATAAAAATCGAGTGATTAGCAGCAAGATGAGCGGCTCGAACTCGCTCCACCACTGTTTATCGTCTCTGTAGTTGGCATAGCAACAGCCAGTGCCACTGGATGGTTGAGTGCCAGCACATACAACTTTAAACAAACATCAAAAGGCTTAGTTTGTCCTCTGCTTCATCACATACAGAGCTGCATCTCCCAAATCAGCTCAAACTGGCCTACAGACATCTGAGCTAAGTGAGCAAAAGTGGCTGAGCCAATGGCATCCTTTGCCTTTTTTAATGAGAGACAAAAGATATTTTTGTCACTTGTAGACATCTTTCCATTTGTGCACACAACACAGCAAAATTACATGGCTGCAGGAAACCACAGATGAGGCACTGAATGGCACTTTCTAGCAGCAAAATGTAAACACTGTACCACCTGGCCACTGATTATCCTGACTGTATAGCTGTGCTAGTTCCTAGTATAAGCTTCTATTTACATAGCTATAGTTAACTAGGTAAGCCATATAAGTGACCATGGTAAAGAAAACCGTTAACAAAAAGTTGCAGGGTCTACCATTTGCCCTAGACATCTACAGCTAGTGCTCTAAAGGCAGGACTCGAGATTAGTGCTGCGTGTGTTAAATGACTTTAACAGGAAAAGTAAAAGCAATGAAAAATAATCAGATTACATTACGTTAAAATGGTAATCCTTAGGATTAGGTGACATAATGCATTTTTAATGTGTAATCAGTAATCTGTACTGGTATATGTTTTTAAGTAAACCTTCCAACCCTGTTTATTTGTAACACTTAATTCAGAATACTAAACTAGCTAAACAGGGCACTGAGAGACTACTTGTATACAAACTATGCTTGTCGCCAGTTGACCGTATGTAAGCAAGTCTATGTTTTATTCCAACAAGAATAAATTGCCGCTGGTGGCAACACTCATTCAGGCCTCAGACTAATACAGCACCAAAGACGCAGAAGCTGCAAACATTTGCTTGCATTCTGAAGGATGAACAATGAATACATACGCCTCAAGGCTGTAGAATTTGCAGAATTCACAGATGGGACTGGGAAAAAAAGAACAGAGGGAGATTTTGCACAACGAGCTTGGTAACTTGACTGCTCCAAAAAAAAAAAAAAGAAAGAAAAAAAGCACGCACCCCACACTTGTACACAAATATACAGTATTACTGAAGAATTCAACAGAAAGGGCAAATGAAGTGCCAGTGGGTTTCAGTTGTAGATGGTTATGAAGCTATGAAACAAGGTGACTCATAACTGGGGATGAGAAATGGGTCGGGGAATGGAAAAGATCTTACACAAACTTACAAATGAAAAACATGGCCTTTAAGTATTTGAGCAAGAAATTATCTTCAGTTAGGTACTGAGGTAACTGTATGATGTGAACTGCCAAATTAAAGGGATAGTTCACCCAAAATGCTAACACTGCTAATAACGAGTCAAAGCATAATGGGTGTCAGTTAGCATTATATGAATTGTATAAAGCAAACTTGCTTTATTTTTCTTTGTTCTACTTCTGTTAAACTATTCATTTAATACAGACATCACAGAACATAAATAACACGCTGCTTGAAAAGGAAGATGTAAGAGATTTAAAGTATGTCAGCATCAAACCCCCTATCTTTCTCACAGTATTGATTGTGTAGGAAGAGACTTACATCGGCAAAACAAATTGAAAGCAGTAAATTGACAAATTTAATGAGCCCTATTCAAACTCTCTACATGAAAATGACATAAATGGAGCAAAAAGTTCAATATGAAGGGCATAGTGTTAAGTCGTGTGTGTACTGAATTGTCAGCAGTTCAACCATGCAGCATGTGAATGAGTCTGTCTATGGGCGTTTGTGAGTGTGTATGTGTGCGTGCGTCCACTATATATGCAAATATCACTGGCTTTCTGACTGACACAGTAGCAACATGTCCTATGTTAATATGCGTGGGCTCATCGACTAGAACAAAGAGTTAAAGCTGGCAAGATTCAGACAGACAGAGAAAGACAGAAAGGAAAGCACTAGCGAGAGTTGTGTCACACAAGTCGCTGTTAACAATACACAGCAATCTGCCTCTTCTTTTGGAGCTGCAAAAGAGAGACGCATTGTCCCACTTCTTTCAATCACTCACACTGACGGCCTGCCACCCACACCACATACTCTCTTGTATTCAAACACTGCACAGCAGGAGGAGGAAAAACAGAGACTTATACAGCACAACAGAAAGACAGATGCACATTCCAAGGAAACAAACACTTCCCTTACAACACACATTTTCAACAAAAAATATGTTGTCATAGCTTAGATCCACAGTGATGAGTAAGAGCATAGCCTCTGTAAGAGTATGTGTGGCTAATACGGACCTCTTCATCGTGTGGTTCTGCATCAGCGCAGCTTGGTTCATGGCTCTCACCCAGCTGTTCATGTCCTCCTGCGTGTCTGCACTGAAGAAGTATGTCCTCATGCCGCTGTGCTCTGCCTGTGAGCCAATCACAGAGCTGTGTTTGTAAATGTAGGAGCGCATCCCTGTATGACTGGCCTGTTGAAAGAGAGCAGAGAACATCAGCAGCGTAAAGGTTGCTTAGGGCCAACAGTACAACACAAATATAAGCAATGCCAGCCAACACAACACCAGTGGGTTGGCCAGGAGTACACCTGGAATCCACTGCTGGAAAAGAGGGTTATAGAGCCTGTTAAATCTGGCAAAAAAACCCCAAACAAACACACAGTAATGCAACAATATAAAGCAGGATAACAGGAGACCTAGAATGGCCTAAATACTGTTTAACCAAGTTAACAAAGACAAACAGATGCCGAGCTCAGACGCCACCGAAACATGCTGAAATAATTCCAATACGAATATGAGCACAACCGCTCCAAAACATTAGCAACAGGTGATAACTGACAAGGAGAAAAAGAAAGAATGCAAAAAATAACACTCCGAGCGCTGGAGTGTTGCACTTCACAGAAAACATCCCAGCCTCAGTAATATCAAAACACAGTCTGCTTATTAGGGTTGGGCAGTATAACAGGTATAATGCACTACTTAAAAATAATGGCAGTATTTCAAAATAATGACAGATTTTCAACATTATGCCTGTGTCAAATTTCTGCCCCACATCTATCTAGTAAATGGACAGTCAAACACCTATTACACTTTGCTTTCTCAGACATTAGTTTTTATAGTCTACACTCGGGTCAGCAGAGCACCGGTTAGTTGGAATCAAAACTGTACTGTGGCATGAGGCACTGACTGAATCTGACTGAATCTGTAGATCTGTAGATTAACACTTAACAATTACACAGTCCATTCTATGTATAATATCTTTTTCTACCATAAATGTACTAGATTTCAGATTGAGAAAGACTGAGATAGAGACAGGCTAAAAACACAAGGTCTAACAATAGCTTGCATTTCCATCTCTCTCTTTCCAAGTACTCCTTGTACAATGTAGGGCTATTTCAAGGTGCTATCAGATTTGTCGAGCCCTCAAAAACACTGCTGGTTTCCAGCACTGTGTCCCTAGGGCCCTCTAAAAGCGGAATGGGCTGGAGATAAGTAGGAACTAAAGATAGTTAAAGGATATATGAATAGTCTATACTAAGACACGCACCAAAATATTTAACGAAACCAGTATGAAATTTCACATAAAGAAAATCTTTTTGAGTCTGCATGTAGTACATGGCAACTCTATTTTAAAGAAAGTGTAACCCAGTTAACCAATTCTATTTGCTTAAATGTTTTTGGTTTAGCCTAAATTTAGTGGATCAGCCAAGACATGTTTGGTATTGGAACTGGGCCTCTTTTTACTTTAGTAATGCAGTTTTTACAAGCAAGTACCTCACCAATTAGCATGCAGTTTGCTTGTGACAATCTACAAGTCAGTCACACTGGAGAAGAACACAAGAGCAATGGTAGGAAGGTACCTATAGTTACAGTAGACTGGCGCATGTGTCTCACAACTTCTCTGGACTGTCACGCACTCCTCACAGGCAGCCAGCCCACCAATCAGAACAAAAGAAAAACACAGTTCAGCAAATAGAAAACACAACCAATTGATCACCACCTCTGTGCTTGAGATATACTCAGTGGCTGCTGGACGTTATGTGTACAAACACTGGGAAAAAGCAAGTGTGATGAAAGCACTACACTGTCAGTGCTACAGTGACAAGAAGATGACAGAAGCACACAGCATGAGCTGTTGCAAATAAACATGCCACATCACACAAATAAGATTGCCAACATGACACACAATGCCAGCAATGATAGACTGAAGCCAGGAAAACAAACAGAGAAAATGTCTAGCTTCTCTCACATCTTGGTGCTGCTATGTACAGGTCCAACACGGAAGCCATTTTGTCCCCCGCCACAGTTGTATTAGCATGTAGAGCGGGGTTGCTGGCCGAGCAGAATGCGCCACAATAAGCCGTCTCTTTGATAAGGGATTAGGAAAAGATTAGAGTGCCTCGTCTGCCCATCCGAGACAGTCCACTACCAAATATCCAGTGGGATTTGCTTACAAACATTCCCCCCTCATACAAAGCCTACAGCAAACATCTCTCTACACAATGAAAACAACAGAGGCTTTTGTTGGTCACTACAATATTCAACAGAATTGCTAGCTGCAGCACAGGATAATGTAAGCAGCCATAGTAGCGAGGTGAAACAATGGGCTAGAAAAGTGGAGCAGAAAGAGACAGGAAGGAAGGACGCTACTGACCTCTCTACACTAGTCTAAAATGTGAGAAACGATACTGACTGCTTTTTGGAAATGAGACAATCCTCTTCCAATGGTTGACTCTCATAATACTGTTAATAGGTCAGAACAGGTGAAGAGAGCAGAGAAGTGCACTGATTTTGGTGTTTCTCTGATGCCTAATCCAATAAATTCAACAACTCCAGACTACAGTGGTCCAGTACATAAAACCATGCAGTTAACATACACTCACCAACTACTTTATTAGAAATACTTACTTTATTGGTCCACTTTGCTGGTGTACATGTAGAGTTATAGTTACAGTTTGCAAGGCTAGCCTTTTATCAGTTTCTGACCACAGAAACTGCTCTTGGCTGGATTTCTTTTTAATGTAGGATGATTCTTGACTTAGCATTGTAAAAACCCCAGCAACACACCTACAGACTACTCTGCCATTACTGTGTCTGTGTCACTGCTGCATTGAGAACGGTCCACCACCCTAATAAAATCTGGACAGCAGTGGTCATATGGTCAGAAACTAATAGTGAATGTGGTAGGGGACGGCTGATAAATTCGCTATGATAACAGACATATACCGTGGACATATAAGTAGCTAATGAATATAAGGCAGGTCTTTCTAATAAAATAGACAATAAATGCACATAAACTGTACATGACAATGGCAAAAACATGACAACTGCAATGCTGCACTTAAACCCAGCTAACAGACCAGCTCACAACACACTCATGTCTGCAAAATGCACATACAACACCTCAGTGATATTCTTATGAGCAAAAAAAACAAAAAAACACAAGAGCCTTCCAACAGTTGAGCCTGCAAACAACAAAGTATCTGCAATAAACCCACAAAGAACAGCAAAAGGCAGCTGACAGACAACATTCAATAAAACAAAGTGGTATATATTGAAGCTATGTCAAGCACCAGGTGTGCTCCCAAAGTAGCAGCAAGAGGCTTGTTTTTTAAGGATTGTTAATTACACTATCATTGTGAATGTAGTGTGGTGTATAGTGATGGGTGCACGCTCAGATCTTACCTTGAAGGCATACTTGCGGCTAATGTGGTCTTCAGGTCCCACTGGAGAGATGGTGTAGCTGGGCAGAGGGATGCTGCCCAGCACGTTTTCCTCTCGACTGTCTGTGAAAAACAGGACGCTCCGAGTTTAGCTACTACTACTTAGTCATGCAGACACAGCAGTTCCCTTCCACAGTGCTCTCTCTCTCTCTCTGTCTGTTTCTCTCAGGCAGGGCATTCCTCTGCTCAATGCCTCTCACATTGCTCTGCTAATATCATAATTCACACATTTATATTTAGTTCCACCACTGCACCCCCCCCGCCCCATTCCCTGACTGCTCCTCTGCAGAAGATGTGGCCGTCAGTATGAGACAATTTTTAGAGACTGTGCAAGATAGTGAGTGTGTATTTGTGTGCTCACGTGTCTGTGACAGAAATCAGTAGTAGAGGAGGTGGTGACGGTGCTATTGTGATAAGTGATAAGGAGGGCCCGATTACGTCACATGGAATTAAAAAAAACTTCAAGGCCGTTTGAAGGAGACGTTCTCCTAAATGGAGCCGACACCTTTATCTACATGAGAAGGGGCTGACTGGGCTGAGACAGGCTGTCTGGAAAATGAGGATAGATTACGCTCTGTGGTGATGAACACACGTGTGTGCACACAGTCAATAAGAACCCGGGGGCTGTGGATGTCAGGAGTCGCTGATTCTGTTACTCTATTTCTTAACAACACAAGCAGCCATAGTTAGCAAATTCTAGTAAGGCTTTGAAACAAGTCGAAATAAAATTGATTTTGACTCTATTTTGGACTGTGATTCAAATTTGAGAGAAAAATAGAGAGATGGAGGAAGCTCTTTATACAGCTGTGCGCAAACGTTTTAAAGTTGGTTTTCTAAGTGAAAGTAATTTACCACTGCCTCCATAGGGAACAAACTTAAACGTGACAGCTTCTTGCAAATTTTAGCATTTACAGTCGGAAAAATACTGGAAAAATAAACATAAAATATGAAATGTGCAATAACGTTTGCACAGGCCCCATTTTCCAATTTATTTTCTTTCCAATATATATTTAATTCAGCAAATAAACAGCAATTGTGCATGACATTGCACAGACCTGTGTTTCTCTATAGAGAGTGTGTGCTTATTTACAATCAGAAAATCAACTAAACCTGTAATTTGATCAGTGGCAGCCAAACTTTTGCAAAAGATAGTAAATATTTGCTTGGGGTCAACAAAATGACAAAAATGTTATATACTTCATCTTGTTTGCGACATATTAATATGCTTTATGTTTTTGGAAGTTTGATAAGTTGGAACAGACGAATAAATTAAAATATTATTCGTCTGTTCCAACTTATCAAACTATCATATTACCCACCCCTATTTTAAATGTAAAATAGCAAAGAACTTGGGGATTTCATCATCTACAATACATAATGTCAATAAAAGTTTCAGAAAATCCAAAGAAATCTCTGTATGCAAGGGATAAGGCCGAAAATCAATATTGGCAGGCCATGATCTTTGGGCCTTCAGGCGGCACTGCAGTAAAAACAGACTTCTGTAGTGGAAATCACTGTATGGGTTCAGGAACTCTTCTGAAAAACCACCGTCTGTGAACACAGTTCATCTCTGCATCCACAAATGCAAGTTAAAACTCTACCATGCAAAGAAGAAACTTTTTTAATGCTGACATTTAATTCAAAATGGACAAATATTTTATACACTTTAACAATAATTGTTCTCAGTTTCAACATTTGATACGTTGTCTTTGTACTATTTTCAATTAAATATAAGGTTTAAATGATTCGCACATCATGGCATTCTGTTTTATTTACACTATGCAGAGCGTCCCAACTTTTTTGGAAACAGGCTTGAATAACGAACTAATGAGATATAATAATTCCAAAAATAAAACCATTCTAATTACTGATATTTAGTTAAAGAAGACTTACCTTTATAGTAAAAGAGGCAATAATCGGCCAGCACAAACCACTTCCGCCTCCAGAGCCGCATACCTGAACTGTCCTGGAAGCACAAACATACACATCTCTGTTCAAACACTTGGCTAAGTGATGGAGACAGATCCCTGCATGCACATTCTCACTGAAGTTGCCAATGCTAATCTCAGTGTGCTGGCAGCATATACACTATGTTCACTGTTAGTTCAGTTAAAGCTACTTTTTGTCTTTTGCTCAATGCAGATCTGCAGATATAGGCATGTGTATTTGCTTGTGTTTTGAGGGTGTGTATAGATAACCATGCAGTATAAACTACAGAATGAGCAAAACATGCTCAATGAAAATATCTTGCACAACAAATATCATTTTTCAGATGGTGTTATTTTACTGTCAGTTATTTTGTAAACTTTTGCAACACTCAACCAATCACTGTTTCTGATGTCTCTGACATCAATGACCAATCAGTTGTGTTCCAGCAACCATTTTTGACAAACGTCAAAAGGTTGTTAGTTTATCCTCTGCTTCATCACTGAACTATGGACATCCAAACTATATGTGAATTAATTTTCAGCTTCTCAGTGAGGTGGTGAAACTCTCTGTGCTACTTTTGAATTTTGGAATGGAAAGTAGTCTCCCCACTGCACATCTTTTTTGTGAAGAGTAAAGGACATATTTGTCACTTGAAGACCTGCCTGTTTGTTCACCTTTTTCGAGATGCAAATAACACGGTGATATTCTGAAAAAAAAATTGCCATGTCTCTAGTTTTGAAATATTCAAAAATATTTTGCCTTTGCCTATTTTGCATGTATTTGGATAATTTTGCATAATTTGGATGTTTATAATTCATTTATTACAGTCTTGATGGCAAAAAGATAAGAAATTCAAACTTTCAGAAATCTAACCCTTGAGATTATTCACAGAAAACATTCATATAACATTTTTCAATGCTGTTTTGGTGCTGTAGTATGTTTTAGTGCATTCATTACTATCGATCTATTCCTAGATTCCTAGAGCACATGTATAAAATATGTATACTTTACAATCCATTTCTGGAAAAACTGACAATTATCAAAATGGTATTATCTGGGGTGGAACATATGGAAGATGCCACCAGAGCTGACAAAAGAAGTTCCACTAGATTTACTCAAGAGACAAAATGGTATTAAACTCAAACAGGAAGGATCATTACTCGTAGAAGGGAAAATAATATAATGCTCTTCTGAATGAACGGGCAAAAATTCCCAGAGACACACTCCAAAATCTTGTGAAAGAATGGAAGCTGTTATAGCTGCAAAGGAGGGACCAACTCCATATTAATGCCTATGGATTTAGAACGGGATGTCATAAAAGCTCCTGTAGGTGTAATGTGTAGGAGTCCCATTATGTTTGTCCATACAGTGCATCTGAAAAAGCACTATTTCTAACATTTACTTACCAGTATATCTTTCTACAGTTTGTTTGGTTCTACCTACAGCAGTGTGCAAAATTTTTTTTGACCAAGATTTTAGTAACTTTTTAGCCGATTACTATTGTCGCATTCTTTCAGAAATGCACTTTTCCCCAAGTTGCTCCACACAGACTTTTTTTGTTGGTGACTAATGTCAGTCACCTTGAGTAAACTTGTAAGCTAAATGACTGTCGACATTTTCACTCCCCAGCATGGTCTGCCTAAAATGTAAGCAATCACATTTTAGAGAAATAGCTTGTATTCACCAGTGAATAATTTATGGGATTTAATCAATCACATCTTTGGTTTGTGAGACAGGCTGCTAGTTCTCTGTGTTGGATCAACACCAGAAATAGGTCTTAATGTAGATTAAGCCAGGTATGTGTCAGAGAATGAGCAAAGAATGCAATCATATTTTATTGTATAACCAGCTATTCTGATGGTCATTTATGAGAAGGTTACTGAGATGTATTTATACTTCAACCCAATGGATGTCTTAACATGTTTTCCACGATCACCAGATTTGTACTGGATCCAGTCAAAACCACTATGATTGAAGAGTACTCTCTTCATAAAAGACCTCTCATCATCATAAAGAGTAGATCTTAGTCATTCTTTTTAAAGACGAATGGAATTTACTCTTTTGTTATTCTCTAGTTAAAATCCAGCAGAGCAGGGTCAACACTCAAAGAAGTGAGGCCGAAGAAGTAACATCTGGCCAATAATTCTGAACAATATCCACCGATTTTGTATAGATTTGTGCTATTTATTTACTGAAATATTTATGTTTGTATTTTACCCTTATTAAGGCATAATGCAGTAATGTAGTCAATGCAGGAAAAATGATTATGAAAGAAACCCTCACCTGCTTGTGGATCCATCCACGCATCACCACTGGAACATTTGGATTCCTCTTTATTGCACTGTCTCGCTTGCCAAAGCTATGCACCCTCCCACTTGATCTGGAACCCTATGAGACACATGCACACACACAAACACATACACACTGATGGTGACTACATCACTCACTCATTACCCAGTAGTGCTAAGAATCTGCCAGGGTTGAGTCATTTGTTACAGATTTCTTCTGCTACAATGCCCAGGAACAGCAATGAGATCCTCAACACTGACCACTTTTCACACACACCAGCACGTTAATACATCTCGTACATCATGCCCATGTGCCATCTCTGCCAGGAGGTTTTGGCACAGACTGCCCGAGACATTCATCTGCACTAGTCAAAACACAGGTGGTAGATGACATGGGTAGCCTGTCTAGCACTATATCTCTTTACAGTT